AAGGTGTTAAATTCCCCAATTTGGACCCTGAAATTGTCTTTTCCTCCCTTTCTCTTACACATTTTGAAGCTCCATCATTGGGCGCATATACATGATTATTATTATGTGTTCCTACTGGGTTGATCACTTTCATCCTTATGAAAACTTTTTGATATCTCTGTTTAACCTTTGTTTTTAAATCTACTTTACCTGGTACTCATACAGTCACTTCAGCCTTCTAATGCTTCCAGTTTGCATGGTATATGTTCCCCATCCATTTACTTTCAACCCACCTGTGTCCTTGTATTTAAAGAGTGTCTCTTGTAGGCAGCATAGAATCTGGACTATTTTTTTTTTTAATCCACCCAATTTGTTTTAATTGTGGTCTCCATGAATGCTTCATGGGTTTCACCTCTCCTTTATTTTTGTTTTCTCCTTGAACCCTCTGACTTTTTCTGCTCATCTGCTCCTCCTTTCTGGCCTTTTGAAATGATTTGAATACTTTCTAGAAATTTAATGTTACTTTTCCTGTTAGCTGTTGACCCATTCTTTCTTGTATTATTTTTACAGTGATGGCCTGAGAGATTACAACACCCGTCCCAAACATTTTTACACTCCAACGTATAGTTATAACAATACTAGAAGCCCAGCACGTGAAATCATGCGCCCCCCCCCCGCCCCCCATACAACCCCACGTGCAGGCCCGCCCACCCGTGCTGTTGGTCGCTGTGGCATTAGGGCCACAGACCTTTTATAATATAGATACCACTTCACACAGAATATAGAAATCTGGCCACTTTACAGACCCATCACCACCCTCATCCTTTAAGGTAGAGTTGTCAGAAGTAACACATCTACACGTGTCATAAATCCCTCAAGACACAGTGTTATCATGTTAAGTAGTTAAAGCTTTATAAAGAAAATAAAGGGGGAAAGGCCAAAACAAAACATAACAAGAAAAAAACCAAACAAAAACTCAAACCAAAACACAGACCCTCAAGTCTTTTGCCTTGTGCCAGACACGTACCTTTTCCGATGCTCACCCCTTTCTGAGGCTGGGTTTCCGCCTGCTCTCGCTTCCCCCCGGTCTGCCAGCCCCGAGGAGACTTGGCCCACGTGTGGCCTCTGCTCAGTCCTGAAAGGCTTCGCCATCCACAGCCCCTTGTGGGGGGAGCCTCAGGTGCAGAGAGTGGAGGTGATCACATGCCTCAGTTCTCAGCAATAAACCATTGCTTGGGTTATTTCCACTTTCCTGCCTTGTCCCACATCCCCTCTCCGATCCCACTCTGCCCCCTGAATACGGACCCTTGAGAAGAAGGAAGCCTCCGCAAGATGGCGCTTCTAAAGGACCAACATGGGTCTCAGTGGCAGAATGGGCTCCCCTCCCGCCTCTCCTGCTCAAGACTTTACCCTCCCCTCCTCCCCCCTTCTCCCTGGGAACCACCACCTGGCTGTCTGTGTCTGAGTTTCAGTTTTATACCCCACACTAGAGGCCCGGTGCACAAGATTCATGCACTCAGGCGGGGGACCCTCAGCCCGGCCTGTGCCCTCTCACAGTCCAGGGGCCCTCAGGGGATGTCCGACTGTCAGCTTAGGGGAGCGGGCCTAAGCCGGCAGTCAGACATGCTTAGCGCTGCCGTGGAGGCGGGAGAGGCTCCCAACACTGCTGCTGCACTCGCCAGCCGTGAGCCCAGCTCAGGGCTTCTGACTGAGCGGCGCCGTCCCTGTGGGAGTGCACTCCTGCATTGGGCATCTGCCCCCTGGTGGTCAGTGTGCATCACAGCAACCGGTCATTCCACCGTTTGGTCGATTTGCATATTAGCCTTTTAGTATATAGGATATGAGTGAAATCATGTGGTTCTTGGCTTTCTTTGACTTATTTTGCATAACACAATCTTCTCAAGGTCCATCCATGCTGTTGCAAATGACAGCATTTCCATTTCTCGTGTGACTGGATAGTAACCCATTGTGTACATGTGCCACACCTTCTTTATCCAGTTGGCTACTGAAGGGCACTCGGTTTCCACGCCTTGGCCACTGTGACTAAGGCTGCCATAAACATGGGGGTGCATATATCTTTGAGAATAAATGTTTTCAAATCTTTCAGGTAATTACCTAGAAGAGAGATTGCTGGGTCATATGGTAACTCTATTCTTAATTTTTTTTTTAATCCTCACCCAAGGATCTTTTTTCCATTGATTTTTAGAGAGAGTGGAAGGGAGGGGGAGAGACAGAGGGAGTAACATGGATATGAGAGAGACCCATGGATTGGTTGCCTCCTGCAAGTGCCCCTACTGGGGCCAGGGATCGAGTGTGCAACCAAGGTATGTGCCCTTGACTGGAATTGAACCCACGACCCTTCAGTACGAGGGCCAACGCTCTAACCCAGTGATGGCGAACCTATGACATGAGTGTCAGAGTTAACACGCGAACTCATTTTTTTGGTTGATTTTTCTTTGTTAAATGGCATGTAAATATATAAAATAAATATCAAAAATATAAACCTTTGTTTTACTATGGTTGCAAATATCAAAAAATTTCTATATGTGACACAGCACCAGAGTTAAGTTAGGGTTTTTCAAAATGCTGACACGCCGAGCTCAGAAGGTTTGCCATCACTGCCCTAACCACTGAGAAAACTGGCCAAGGCTCTATTCTTAATTTTTCGAATAGAAACGGCCACTTTTTCCATAGTGGCTGTACCAGTTTACATTCCCACCAGCAGTGAATGAGGGTTCCTTTTTCTCCACGACCTCTCCAAGACTTCCTATTATTTGTCTTGTTGATAATGGCCACTCTAACAGGTGTGCAGGGTATCTCGTTGTCCTTTTGATTTGCATTTCCATAACAGCTAGTGAAGTGGAGCATCTTTTCATATATCAGTTGGCCACTTGTATGTCTTCTGGGGAGAAGTGTCTGTTCAGGTCTTGTGCCCACTTTTAAAATGGATTGTTTGTGTTGCGTTGTATGAGTTCTTTATATATTTTGGATATTAACCCCCTGTCGGAGTAGTTGTTGCAAATATCTTCTCCCATTGGGTTGGTTGGAGGCATAGATATTTTTTAAAAATTCTTTTAGAGGGGTGTGAACAGAAACGTGTGAAACGCCGTTACAGACCACAGTGCTCCCGGGGAGGGGGCAGAGGTCAGAAGGAGGGGCACAGTGACAGGCCACCTTCCTCCAGCTGCTGGGCTGGAGCCGGGTGGCTACCAGGACCTGAACACACCCTGAGGACAGGGGTTTTGTCTGTTTGGCTGCTACTGTCTCCCCAGAATTGATAGTACCTGACACCTATTAAGCCCGCAACAAATATTTATTGAATGAATGAACGGTAGGCACTTTCTGAGCTCCCACTCTCTAAGGGGTGCCTGCGCATTCCCATGTAATCCTAGACACAGCACTGCAATAGGTCCAATCAGTAGCCCCATTTCAGAGATGGGGAAACTAAGGCATGGAGAGGATACACAACCTGCCCAAGGTCACTGATCAAGGAAGGAGCAGGCTGGGACCCGGGCATCCTGATCAGAGCCCTTAACCATGATGCCTCCATGGCCCCGGGATGTGGGGGCAGGGCCTGTGTCTTTGGGTTCTGAGGCTCCAGGCACTTGGGGGCCCTCCATGACTGATCCCCTTCATAGCCATCTTAACTCCCGCCATTTGCTCTGTCCTCCTAAGTGGTTTTCTGTCTCCCCTCCCTGTTTGATAGGTAAGTTGCACACATCCCGGGATGTCCCCACGTTGTTGACCTACTTACTTACCCAACCATCTTCCTCACACATAGGGGCGGCATGTCTGGAAGGAAGCCAGGAGGTGGAGAGGGGATCGCCGACGCGGGCTGAGCAGCCTGCAGCCCACCGCAGGCAGGCATGAATAAAACACGACTCCCCTGCTCAGAGGCCGGGAGGATGGCATTTATCCTAAGTGGCTTTCCAAGAACACAGCTCCTGTCCCCCGCCCCCTAGAAGGGCCTCCAAAGCTGCCGCTGGGTCAGGAGGGTGCTGGTTTCTCTCCTCTTTGTTAAATGGAGGGACCTTATCTCTTGGCCGTGCGCATGACAGCTCCAAACGGCCCCAAACAAGCATTCTTCCTGCCAACCATCCCTCTGTTTCCCTTTTCTTTTCTTGTTCACTTAAGCCTATTGGGGTACTATTGGTTACGTCACCCGTGTATCCTGTATCCCACTTGTGCTCACCGCCTCAGGTGTAGTCTCCACCCCTCACCTTGTGTTGGACCCCCCCTTACCCTCTTCCTCCCCACCCCCCCTTCCCCTCTGGTAACCGTTCTACTGGCTGAGTTGGGTTGTGCTGTGTGAGCTGTGGTTTGTTGCTTGTTCATTTGTCGCGTTCTGCTGTGTATCCCACATGAGTGATATCATCAGATGCTTGTCCTTTTCCCACTGACTGATTTCATTTAGCTGATACTCTCAAGACCCACCCATGTTGTCGCCAAGGGCACTATTCCATCGTATTTAATGACTGAGAGTAGCATCCGTTGTAAAAATGTGCCGCATCTTCTTTAACTAACCCTCCTGCTTCCCCATCACCAGCTTGAGGGGAGGCCTCAGGCTCCAGAAGAGGGAGGGCGGGAGGGGGGGCGTGCAGGTGGCTTCCCCAGGAAAGAAAGGCTGCCCCCGGCTCCCAACACCCTAAGCCTCCTTCCCTGGCTGTCGCCCAGGAGCCTCATGACCTCGGGGCCAATTTCAGGGACTGGCGAGGGGTGGGGCTGCGGGTGTGGGGGGGTAGGGGGATCCACAGCAGCTCCAGCCTCTCTCCTCCCTACTTGGGGCCAGATGAAGCCAAGACTCCTCACTTTGGCTCCGGACCCTCACGCCCCCTCTCACCGCCCCCCGCCCCACCCTCGCCCCTTGACCCCTCCCCTGACCTCTCCCCCTGGAGCCCCTGACTGTTCCCTCGCCGGCCCGGCCTCCCCGGCCCAGGTGCTGAGGACACGCGGCCACGTGCGGGCGGAGTCGGAGCTCCCGGCGCCGTAGACAGGCAACGTCGGCGGACGCGGCGGGGGCGGGCGGCGCGGGTCTGGGCGGGGTGGCGGCCCCTCCTGCACAGCGACCGTGGCCCCTCCTGCTCCGAGCCCCCCGCCCCCGTTCCGCGCCGGCCGCTCCTGACGTCACAGCCGGACCCGCTAAACCGGGCGGCGGCGGCGGCGGCGGGGCGCTAGGGTGCAGACTGCGACCCGGAGGCGCCCGGACGGACGGAGCGCACAGCGGCCGGAGACCCGAGGTAACGCCGGCCGCGCTCCCTGCCCACGGGGCTCGGTGCTGGGGCCGGGGGCGCGGGGAGGGGCGAGGGGCGACCAGGGATGGGGGAGCCTCCAAAGCGCCGCGCGGGGCTCCGGGCGGCCAGGGCGCAGGATGCACCGGGCGCGCTGGTAGAAGCAGGACCCTCGGGGCGGCGGAGAGCGGGCTAGCACCCCCGGGACCCAGGGGCGCCCGCGGGCGACATTAACCCGGAGCACAGGTGTGGCCGAGGGGTGCGCCGGGGACCCGCCCGCGCCGCCCTTTCCGCAGCCGGGGAAGTGTGAGCTTTGAGGGCGGGGGAACCCCCATCCGCCACGGCCCCTCACCTCGCCCCCTGCCCGCAGCCCAGCCCGAGCCATGGCCCTGAGCGACTTGGCGCTGGTCCGCCGGCTGCTGGACGGCCGTCACTCCCGGAAGCTCATCCTGTTCATCGTGTTCCTCGCGCTGCTCCTGGACAACATGCTGCTCACCGTCGTGGGTACGTGCGCCGCGCCCCTCCCCTCCCGCCTCCGCCCGACACCCCTTCCCTGGGCGCGCCACTCACCGAGCGTCCAGCTGGAGCTCTGCGCGGCCTGGGAAAGTTGGAGAACGCTCTCTGCAAAAACACAAACCCCAAGACGGCCACGCCGGGGCTGCTGCGAGCCGGCTTGTGGCTTCGTCTTCCTGGTGGTCAGGTCAAAAATGTGACGGCCGATGCCGCCCAGAGCTGTGTTTCCTCCTGATAGCGTCAGCCCCCCCTGCCTGCCCACTGTCACCGGGGGAAAAAGATTTCTTTGAAGGACTAGCAATTTTCAGAGCTCACAGGAAGGTTATAAGACGACTTATGCTCCCCGAAAAGGGGGGTTAATAATGTGATGGAACATCTAGGAACGAAGTAAACACCCCTCCCTGGAGAAGGGAAGTGGCAGTTCAGTCTCTTGTACCCTTGAATGACTCAGGATGGAAACAGTCCGAGACCATTTCAAGAGCAATTTGAAAAGTGTTCCTTTCAGCCTTTTTCCTAGAATGGGTTTTTAAAAAAACCAAATAACTTAAACCCAGCTCGCATAACTAGCCTCATTAACAGCAGAGTATTTGGCTTGCCTTTCCTTTACAGTAGCCACATTTTTAATGGGTCAAAGGAAGTAGTTTTTTTATTTCGACTCCCAGGGTGGGAGTGGCATCTCCCCTCTCCATTTGCAGGTTTTCAGAGCAGCAAGTAGTCAGGCCGTTCAGATGATCAGGTGAGGTGTGAGGTGTGAGGTGGGTCAGAGTTCAGCAGCCGGGGCCTCTTGTCTCCTTTGTGTTGAATGTTCTGTTGTCACACACTTGCCCAAAGCTGCTATTACAACAAAAGGCTTCCCTTTTCCTCTATTGAAAGTCTCAGAAATTCGTGTGTGTCCGGATAGGATGCACACTTGCCGGTTCCCACCCCAGAACTAGAGAGGAGAAGTGGGCCAGTTGCAGAATTTCCAAACGATGACTTCCTGCAGGTTTATTTTTTTTCTAAGACACACAATGCAATTTAGGTTTCTATTTCCTTGATTCATTCAATTAAAGGTCTTTCGAGCCTCTTTCTGAGAAGCCCTGGTTGTTGACCCTGGGTCAGCACGGACTCAACCTCAGCCCAGATTTTGCTTTCCCAAAGTATTCCTGGGGTGGAACCCTGTACCGAGAAACCCCAGGGCGGACACGGTTCTCTAGAACTAGACTCCTGGGGCGTCACTCTCTCTAGGGAGCTAAGCAATGTCAGTAGGGGAGGGGGCATTCCTGGGATATTCATACCACCTCTCTGTGTCTCGTTGATATTTGACGTGACCATCGCTCTTCTGGCATTTGTCCCAGGGAGGGTCTCAGTGCCGTCACCACCTTCCCGTTCTGTCTTGTCCCCAGTCCCCATCATCCCAAGTTACTTGTACAGCATCCAGCACGAGAAAAATGCAACTGAAGTCCCGACTGCCCGGCCAGCACCCACAGCCTCCCCCTCGGATGGCTTCCAGAGCATCTTTTCCTACTATGACAACTCCACCATGGCCACTGGGAACACCACCGGAGACCTCCAGGGGCGGCCGCTGCCCAAGGCCACCACGCAGCCCATGGTGACCAACTCATCCGCGGGCCCTTCCGACTGCCCCAGCGAGAATAAGGACCTCCTGAATGAAAACGTGCAGGTTGGCCTGTTGTTTGCCTCCAAAGCCACGGTCCAGCTGCTCACCAACCCGTTCGTAGGACTGTTGACCAACAGGTAGGCGATAGTATTTTGGCCAGAGAGTTTATTTTTATTTATATTGTTCCGAGCTCATTTCCCCCCTGGGATTCTGTTTCTCATTCATTTTTTAGCAGAATCTGGGAACCAGTAGAGGGTGAGCTTGGGGGGAAAACAATCCAATCCCTTCTCCTTTTTGATTCTGCCCATAGTTAATTACGATTTCCCATTCGTTCTGCCTTTCATGGCTGCCTCCGTTGCTTAAAAAGTAAGAAAATATGAAAACAGAATAGAGGCCCTCCCACCGTGGGAGGACTTGGATTCTTGTCTAAATGCCGATTTCATCGTCGGGTTCTCCGTGTCATGCAGTTTTCTCTTCTCTTCCACCCCTGGGCCTGTCGCCCCGCGTAGAAAGCCAGGTGTCCTTTAGAGCTGGCGAGGTGAAGCCTCCGGAGCTGGCCAGGTGGGGGACGCGGGGGAAGATGGGTCATTCTGCTGCTGAGACGGAAGTCCGGAGGTGGAGGTCGTGGGCAGTGTGACAGGTTCATCCCCTGCCTGTTCCTGAGCTACGCCCACGTGCACACAGGGAAGGCAACGGAGGCTGTTTTCTGCATCATTCAAACTGGCAAATAATGCCCCAAATCAACCCCAAACTCGGCTTGTGTAAACCTAGATCAGCGGTTCTCAACCTGTGGGTCGCGACCCCTTTGGCGGTCGAACGACCCTTTCCCAGGGGTCGCCTAAGACCATCCTGCATATCAGATATTTACATGACGGTTCATAACAGCAGCAACATTACAGTTATGAAGTAGCAACGAAAATAATTTTATGGTTGGGTCACCACATGAGGAACTGTATGTAAAGGGCCAGAAGGTTGAGAACCACTGACCTATGTGTTCTGGACTTTTCTGGGCCCCCATTGCTTTGAATCCTTGTTCCCATTTCCATTGTTGGTGACGCCCAGCAAGTCCCTGTTCAGAAGGGGATGCAGCTCTGGCTGGCCCCTGGAGGCTCAGGGCTTGCCGTCGAGGGGAGGGGCGTCCGCTGCAAGGAGGGGGAGCTGATTCAGTGTCAGTGGTGGTGGCAGGCTGCCATGTAAACAGTGCAGCCCCGAAGGCAGAAATGCAAGACATGGCCGAGGAGGAAGTGCCCAGAGTCCTATATGTGAAGCAGGTCTAGAAGCATGAACAGAGCCCAAGACTGGAGATGGGGGAGGCAGGGGGCTGTGAACTAGGGAGGGCTGAGCAGGGGGTTGGGGTGGGCCAGTCTATAGAAGACCCCAAGTGCTAGGTGGAGAAAGGGGTTTTTATTGGAAGCCATCAGAGGCTCCAAAGCCAAGTTGAAGAGTCAGCAGGGCAGCCGGCTTTGAGCAGGTGCCCCCAGCACCCAGTGTAGGCTGGGAACGGAGGTGCTGACACCTGCCCAGGCTCTGGCCTAGGGATGGGGGCAGCCCAGCAAGGCCCTTGTTTAAATATTATTAAGCATTTCAAGAGGGCAGCAGCAGGCATGAAACGAGGCCCGGGGCCCTTCTCAGGGTGGGGCTCTGCATGACGGGGCTGGGGCCAGCTCTGGGGCTGGGGTCCATGAGAGAGGAGAGCGGGTACGGAGATCTGCCTCCCCCAGCACCAGCTGCCCTCGGACACGGAGGGTGCAGCCACTGTGCCCATGGCGAGTTGGACAGAAGCACATTGTAAACGTTGGCCATTTGGTTTTCTGGATTGAGGAGTGCCATTGGGTCGATTGGAACAATCCTAAGCTAGGCCCAGCCAGCCAGTCTGTGTGAGGCTATGGTATGCAACCGCCACGTAAAATACGCCAAGCCAGTGAACTCTGCGATGTCGGCCTGCCACTGGCTGGGCCACGGGAGGGCTCCTGCTCCTTAGGAGGACACCGGGCAGGCCTCAGTAGTGCGGGGTTTTCTTTCTTCTTCCAAGACTAAGAGCCCTTCTTACATTGCATCTGGGGGCTCTGGCTGGGTGGCTCGGTTGGAGAGTCATCCCGGGCACCAGAGGATTGGGGGTTCAATTTCTGGTCAGGGTACGTGCCCATAGTTGCAGGTTTAATTCCCGGTCGGGGCATGTGCGGTAGACAGTCCATGTTTCTCTCCCTTCCTCTCTCTAGAAGCAATAGAAATATAACCTCGGGTGAGATTAAAAAAAAAAAATGCATCTGCTATAATTACAGAAAAGGGCTCAGGGTTTTGTATTCTGAGACGGCAAAGAGCTGAAATGCTCTGTGGGAAAATTGAGGACATTACTATAATGACGCCCTGTTATTACTCTGGGTGCGATTGTCACATACAGGGTCTTATTTCAACCCCGGGCTGAAGGGATGCGAGCATTCCAGGTTTCCAGATGCAAGTGGCAAATGAAGAGCGTTGGAAAAGCCCCTTCTTGTTTTGAATCCTTTGTTTATTCCATGAGGAAGAGGCCTGTTTACCAGCAGGGAGGCCTTGCCTCCATCATCACTATCCAAAGGCTTTGACTTGCAGCCCCCAACGCTGGGAAAAAAAAAAAAAAAAGAAGTCTTCAAGAGAAACCTATTTTTGTTTTGTGACCTGTGAAATGTAGTCTATTCTTAAGGTGAATAATCCACTTTGGAATTTATCTAGAGCAAAAATTTTAAACCGTTACTGGTTCCCCCAGCTACCAAGCAAATGTCAAAATAACCTTCATCTTTCAGCACATCCTTGTAATGTGGGACATACAAGTGCCCTTGAACATTGATGCCGGCGGAATAATTGAGGGAAGTCTGACCCTCCAAAAACGATCATGATTTGTGATTTTTCCCCCCAATATTTTCCAAGCTCCACAGACCCGAGTCTGGAGACTTGCAGCATTTCTGGGCACGCCACGGTTCTGCCCAGAGAAGCGATGAACACGTCCCATTTTCCTTTACAGAAGCTTCTCTTGTGAGCCATTGCACATCGTCCTTGGTGTAATTGGTGCCAATCACATCCTCAATTACCAACAAGCTGTGTGATTCGTTTCCAGTATTGTAAACAAGTGTGCTTAAAACTGCGTTTCACCGTCGGTGACTATGTTTATGATTGAAGGGGTGTTAGAAACACAGAGCATCAGAGCTGGGAGGGAGTTTAGCCGAGGCTTTGGGCCAGTGCTGGGACTTTACAGGCAAAGAGCTGGCCGTTCGGGGGGAGGAAGTGTTTGCCCAGGACTGGAGCAGGGCCCAGCCTCGCTGTGTGGGTGTCTCCCTCCTCTCGTTCCTTCCACCTGCTTACTGTTACACAGTGTGGAAGGTCAGCTGCTAAAAGTCAGTAATGCAGGTCAAACTAACTCTCTTGCGTCCACTTAGGCCAGTGATGGCGAACCGTTTGAGCTCCGCGTGTCAGCATTTTGAAAAACCCTAACTTAACTCTGGTGCCGTGTCACATAGAGAAATTTTTTGATCTTTGCAACCATAGTAAAACAAAGATTTATGTTTTTGATATTTATTTTATATATTTAAATGCCATTTAACAAAGAAAAACCAACCAAAAAAATGAGTTCGCGTGTCACCTCTGACACGCGTGTCATAGGTTCGCCATCACTGACTTAGGCTCTCTCTGGTGGTACCAGGCTGGACTAGTAAAGGCCCAAACAGTGAGTTGTTGGTGGTTCTTTGTAACCCAAGGGCAGGGAGTCCGGGGGGGAAATCAGCCTGGTTTTCTAGACACGGACCTACCTTCCGTCACCTCCTTGGCCCTAAAAAAAAGAAATAAAAAAAAAAAATCTCTATTTCCAGCCACTGATGTGAGCTGGCCTGGCTTCCTAGCACCTCTGTAGTGCTTCTCACGGGGGAAAAAGAGGCTGCCCGAACCCCCAAAGATATAGGGGGAGCTACCCAGAGACAGGTAGCTTGAAGCCACTCCTTCCCAAAGCAGGACCCACTGTGAAATGAGGCATCACACATGTCACAGCCGACCCCCCCCCCCCCCCCCCCCCAGTGACATCCAGGACCTCGTCTCCGTGGCCGTCATGCTGCCGTGTGAGTGGCTTTTGTGGGTAAATGATGCAAGAGGCAGGCTGCCTGCCTGGATATCTGATCAGATCGCACACCAAACCCTGCAAATAAAACAGGACCATGCCTGGAAGCATTGTGTGCCCTGTGGGTTCACTGGGAGCAGTTTCTCTAGGACTTACCCTTCTGATGCCATGTTTGTACTGAAACGTGACCAGGTCGGGAGCAGAGGACCTTGAGCGTGGCAAGTGTAGCGATCACATCCAGTAACGCGGTCTGAAGCCTGCAGGCACCTCGAGTCCCATCTTTGAGGCGCGTGTGACTTATTTTGTAATTCCAAGTTGTTTATTTCAGGATCGCCTTGTGTGTAAAAGGCGGGGAAAGGACTCATACTTAGCAACACCTGTTAGCATGCAGCCCGACGAGTGGATTTCAGACACGCACACACACATAAGAGCAATGCCCCGGGCAGGTGCCGATGTGAAAACACCTGTACGTGTCTCTGTCCACACATCAGACTCGGAACATGGCCGCGGGGTCCTCGCTCGATTGGCATAAGGATTGCCTAGTAGTTTCCTCTTTGGAACTGAAAGTTATTCCCAAAACGAACAGGGTGGCGAGGGAAAGGGTTAACTCCGGGCAGCTCCGGGGCCTCCCTCCTTAGCTTGTCATTGTCTCCCTGGTCTGCTTTTTATCAAGCCGGTGACAGTGGCTTAATTTATTTCCATAGTTACCTAGTACATTTGAAAGCCAGTTATTTCCCCCGCAGATCGTAGCTAGCATCTGACCAACAGGGAGGAAGCCGCAGGGCACAGAATCGCGACGCAATCTGCTGTGGTTCACCCCCACCCCCCACCCCCCAGCGGTCGGTCTGAAGTGGGCTTTGTAGGAATAAGCGGTGACCTTTTCAGCTGCTCAGGGATGGGGAAACAGCCGCCCGGACAGGGAGCGCCTGCCCCCGACGCTGTTGGGGTGGCGTGACAGGCCTTCCCGTCTGGAATCGGAAGCAGCTGGCCGTGGAACTGGCCATTTGTCAGGGACAGGAGGGCACCTCGGAGAGTAAGAGACCCATGGCTCCCGGGACCCCCTGTGCCCATCCGGGAGCTGAGAAAGACAGACCCCCGGGCTGAACCTGAGAATCTGGTTTCATTTACAGAACGATTGACAGTAAGCTTCCCAGAGGGGCCTGTCGATTTAAATTACTCTGTTTACGGATGTGCACTCCCCGAACCCCCTTTCAGGAGGGTGTTGGGACCACTGGAAAAGGAGACGTCACCTCTTGTCTCCCCTGGTGACAGTTTGTATCCTATGCGTCCTTGCTTTTGTCTCTTTCCACGCGAGGGTGGGGGGGACCGAGGTCTCCCAAGCCTGAGATGGGAACTTGCGTGGTCTCCATGGCAAAGGTAAACTAGTTAGTAGCTTGTCAGTGATGCAGTGGGGGGTACGGGGTTCTCCACCGGCCGTCGGGTGTGGTTAAACGTCTGCACCGCTGAGTGCTCTGCCCTTTTTTCTAGGGACTCAGTCTGTGACTTTCAGTCCTATTCCGACTGGATTAACTGCTCTCAGTGCTCTGTGGAGGATGGCCTGGGGCTGGGATGACTCAGCAGGGGTGATAATGGGAGATTTGGTTAAAGGTTTGCTGCATCAGGTCTGGCTGTGCTGGGCAAGACTCTAATTGAGAAGGCGTTGCATCGAGACAGGAGGCGACTCAGATGCTGATGACTAAGGGCAGCCAGCGAGGCTCTGTGGGGAAGGAGACGGAGCATGGGCGATCTGCCCATCACTCGGACCTGGGCCGTGGCTGCCTCTCCTTCTGCGGTGGGTGCTGAGGGGGCTAGAGGGTTGAGGGTGGACCCAGGAGTGTGTCTTGGCGCTGGGCTGCAGGGCAAGGCTGCCTGGCACTTTCCCCGGGGCAGCCCCGTCAGCAGCTTGGCCAGCGTTGAAAGTGTGGGGCACGCGTGTCCGGTAATGAGACCGAAGTAGCGAGAGCCCCCTGGTGTCCGAAGCACTTGGCTTGCGCTGCGACGGTGGGTGAGCCACCCCTTCTCTGAACCTCGCTTTCTCACCCAAGACGAGGGTTTGGACTGGCCGGCCATTTGGTTATCCCTACCTGCTTCATTAAGTCCCAAAGGGATTTTAAAAGCAGTAACTGTTTTTGTTTTAAAGAAAAACAGCACCTGTGGTGCAGAGCCGTCTGGTTTTAGGTGAAACTGTGGACCTTCTGTTCCACTCACCGCCCGTGAACTTGTGCTCCTGTGACCAGGGTCCCCGCCACAGCGCACACTAGCAGGACCCGGCCCACCTTAGATGCTGGAGCTGTGCTGGTGCCCTGAATTGGGGGCAGGTTACTTCAATTCGCTAAGCCTCAGTGTGGCCATCTGGAAAATGGGAAGAGAGCCAGCGACCTCATGGAACTGCGAAGACCATCACAGGGGGCACTGCCCGCTCTTTCCCCACGGGCGGTCTCAGGGACTGCCGGGGGCTCCTGGTGACCAGGAGCCGCCCCAGCTGCGTCCTGCCAGGTGAGCTGGGCCAGTGGCCGGGCTGCAGCCTGGGCGTAAGAATCACTGGCATGTCAACAGCTTTGCACACGTGTGGAAACGGTGTTCATTCCGGGGCAGCTGCGAGGATTGTCATACGTCTGTTCTTCCTCCAGAAGCACAGTAGATGCTGAGAAATATGAACGGCCTGGAGCACCACTCTCTGAGCCTCCGGCAAGTGTCTTCATTCAGGATCCTGAGCACAGAGCGGTCAGCTCCGGGCTGATGGAGACAAGAGAGGCCGCCACGTGATGGCCATCTGAACGGCGGTTCAGAGCCCGGTGTCTCCCCTGGCTCCCCGGGCTGGCCTTGAGCCCCGCTTTGTGAATTCCAAGCCCGTCTCAGGTCACAGTGGGGAATCTGCGTGGGCCTGTGAGAGGGAATCTGTCATGATTTGAGGATGCTCTTTGCTTTCTGGATGCACACAAAGCAGTTAAAAAAGAGAGAGAGAGAGAGAGAGAGAGGAGAGGAGAGAGAGAGAGAGAGAGAGAGAGAGAGAGAGAGAGAGAGAGAGAGAAGAGAGAGAGAGAGAACGGCCAGGAGCACTGTTGGAGAGGCGCGTTGGAAGCCTTTGGCTCCCTGAGGAGGTGGGAGAGTTTGCAGGGAAAGCCCTGGCTGGACGAAGTGGCCTGGATTGAAATTAGCCAGAGGACGTTTAACCAGTCACTCATTTGTGCCCGAGTTTCCTCACCTGTGGAATGGGCAGGTGGTCGCTGTCCTTGCCCCGTCCTTGAGCTGCGGGTGTAAGTGCTTGAGAACTGAGTGAGTGATAACGGTGACTTTTATTCAAGTCCAGAGTAGAAGAGCCCTTCTGGGCTGAGTGACTGGGACTCAGGACTTTCTGGCCTAGGATCCAGGGCTGGTGGGGGCGGGGAGGGGAGGAGGGGGGAGTTGAGGCCTGGAGATGCTCAGGGCTGCTCTGGGCTGACACAAACTCCGGAGAGCAAAGGCGCAGCCAGCGTCGCACCCCTTTTCAGGGCAGGGGGACCAGGAAGCTGCCTTCACCCTCATGCCCCATGCAAATGGCAGGAACCAAGGTGTCTGCTTAATCAGAAACAGAGAGAGGAAGGGCATGAGGGAGGCGCCCTGGTAGCAGCGTACACCCACATCTCATCAGATACCCGGTTCTGGGAGGCGGGTGATGGTGAGCTGCCTGGGAGGCTGGGGTGAGACTTGCTGGGCTAAGGGCAGGGCCAGGCGTCCAGCCGGGGGCGAGATACAGAAAGGCCAAGGTCTTTGGCAGAGCCCTGGAGGGGCCCTGCTCCTACGGAGCAGTTAGGATGTAGGGTTTGTGCACAGAAAACGAGGCCTGTCTTTCTAGGCCGGCCTCCCTGGGCTCAGAGTGAAGACGGATTTGAACGTCTTGCTGCCCGATGCCTCTTAGATGCAGTGCAGCCGTCTCGCTGGCCGATCGAATCCTGGAATCATTTGATTGCCATTGTGCCTTTGGTGAAGCTCTAGCAAAGACTGCAGTGAAAGAAATAATACTTTAAAAGTGGCGGGACCAGGGGCCGTATATTTGGGCTGTTCCCTCGGCTACTTGCCAATATTGTGTTAACATTTATTCCAGAGAAATGTCTGTTCGGACTGGGAGTCCATCAATGTATTCACACTCCGAGACAGTCAAACACAGAAAGGTCACGCAGGAAGCGCCAACTGTATGAATTTTTAGGAAAGTTGACCCAGCACTTATCCGCCGGATCCCAGAGGGTCGGCGGGAGAGACTCGGTGCGAAGCCTTAGGAAAACACAAAGCAGCCGCCAGATGCCCCTCGTGGTTTTGTTTTGCAGAGTCGGGTATCCAGTTCCAATGTTTGTGGGATTCTGCATCATGTTTATCTCCACCATTAGTAAGTGCCTCGTGTTTGCCTTTGGAGCGTGGGTCACGGGAAGGGTTCTGGTGGCCGTGAGCCCGGAGTTGAGAACACAGATCCCGGGCTGGGGCGGGGAGGTTGGTAAAAACGGCAGAAAGAAATCCATAGAGGGGGGGTCTTCATGGGCAGAAACAGTGTGGTTACTATGGAAACAAACCCTCGGACTGAGGGCCTCAGAAATGCCTGCTTGACCTGGTTGCCCTGACCCTCCGGGTCCTCCTCCCCGCAGTGTTCGCCTTCTCTAGGAGCTACGCCCTCCTGCTGATCGCCAGGTCGCTGCAGGGCATTGGCTCCTCCTGCTCTTCTGTGGCTGGTAGGTGTGGGTGAGCCTGAGTAAGTCCGTGCCCGGGGGTCTGCAGTCTGTCCCAGGGGCCACCAGCATTGCCCCATCGCCAGCCCCTCACCTCGCGAGCTGCATAATTCAGGGAATCGAGGTTTCGGGGGTGGTGACTGGCGTGGGCTTGTGGAGAGGGTCCCCACCTCCTCATTAGACCCTTCTTGGTCTTACGTTTTCATGAACCTGATGGGCTTGGGCCACTCCCAGGTCTGGGTTGGGGAGGGAAGGCGAGTCACGGATAATTCATTCAGCCGTTTCTTTTCCTGGGTAGGGATGGGCATGCTTGCCAGCGTGTACACAGATGACGAGGAGAGAGGCAACGCCATGGGGATTGCCCTGGGCGGCCTGGCCCTGGGGGTCTTAGGTAGGTAACGTCCACGTGGAGGCGCCCTGGCAGCCTGTCTGCGCTGGACAGCGACAGTCCTTCCTCCCTGAGTCCCTAACTGTCCCTTTTCGTTCCCTGCTTTCGGGGAGCCTTCCTGACAGGGGAGGCCCTGGGCTCCCCCTGCCTCTACCCCCAGACTTGCTGGGGAACTTTGGGAAACCAGCCCCAGACCTCCCGGGCCCAGACGTACAGGAGGCTTGACCAGGACGGTCTGCCAGGATCCTTCCTCTTTGCTCAGATGGCTCTGGGTTAATGCTGAGAGGACCTCCCCAACTCCAAGTCTGCCCCCACCCCATTGGCCTCCCAGACCAGGGGCAGTATCTTCCCTGCCAGAGATGGGGTCCCCTCCCTTTCCTCCGTTACATTCCCCCCTTCCCCTGAGCCCGCAGTCCCTGTCCTGGTGCTTAAGGGATGAAGTCCTCGCCGACCGGGATCTTGTTCCCCTCTGACCGTCAGTTTGGGATGACCCGTCGGGTCTCTTGCCCGTGTCCCAGATGTGGAACCGCTGGGAGGAAGTAGCCAGGGCACTTCACACCACCGCCAAGAGCTTTTAGAACAAAATGAGAGCGAAGCACAAGAAACCAACAGACGGTCCTTGTGGGGTCGGGCGGGGGCCTCGGCCCCGGGCCTGCGTGACTCGCTCTGTCTCCCCCTTGCAGTGGGCCCCCCCTTCGGGAGTGTGCTCTACGAGTTTGTGGGGAAGACGGCCCCGTTCCTGGTGCTGGCTGCCCTGGTGCTCCTGGATGGAGGTGAGTCCGCGCGCGGACCGTGGCCGTGGCCTGGCACATGTGCTGACCGGGTCTCAGCCATGCCTCTTGTGTTTCTCCCGCAGCTATTCAGCTCTGTGTGCTCCAGCCGTCCCGGGTGCAGCCAGAGGTGAGCCTCGGGGGGCGGAGAGCGCTGCGCCCGCCTCGTCCCCTCTTCTAACCCCCACTTTCTCCCCAGAGCCAGAAGGGGACGCCGCTGACCACGCTGCTGAAGGACCCCTACATCCTCATCGCCGCAGGTGGGGCTCCCCCCGGCCCCCCAGTCCTTCTCAGCCCAGGGGTGGGGGCGGATGGCGAGGACCAGTGTTCACCTAGCGGCTGGAAACGGGCTGTGCAAAGGCATAAGAGGCACAGGAGGGTCTACGTCACAGAAATGGTTTCCTTCCGTCATTCGTTTTGACTCTGGGCCAGCTGCAGGTGCTGCTTTTCATTTGGGGCAAAGGTGTCTGCATCTTGGAGATACCCCGCCCCACCCCCCCGAGTTTGTTTTGGGTCACGCTTGCTCTGTGTTGGTGGCAAAGGCCATTCCTGCTTGGCCTTGAACTTCCAGAAGGAGTCGGTGGCCTCACTGCAGGCGTCTTGGCTGGGGGTCTGACTCACCTTGACCCCTGTGACCGATACCAACAGCAGAGCCCCGAGGGCAGACCCAGCGGGCGTCCTGCCCAGCAGAGACCTGGGCGGGAGACTCCCTGTGGCCAAAGGATCTCGGGCCTTTGGGCTTGGCCTCGGTGGGCTCAGAGGAGCGCTCTCAGGGAGGGTCCTGGCAGCATTCATCCATGGGACTGTCCCCTCACACCATCCCAGGGACACAGGCCTGGGGCTGCCCGACGAGGGACCAGTCTCATGCTGCCTGGCCTGGATTTGGTGGTCAGCATGATGCTTGGGGTCAGGCCGGCCGGGGGAGGGGGGGGCCGCTCTGAAGTGTGGCTTCAGACCAGCCAGGGCTCTCTGCAGCCAGCGTTAGGTTAGTGTAAGCAGGAGCCCCGAGCACGAGGGGTGCGGTAGCCAGGTGAAGTGGGTGCGGGCCCTGCCCGCGGGTATTCAAATTCAGGCTTTTCCAAAACCTCAGGCTAGTTTTGTTGGAGCCTCTGTCTGCTGCAGGGTCTGGTCAGGGGGCGCCTGTGTGACCCTGGTGTAAGTCCCATCTGTTGTCCAAAGGGACGCGAACCTGGTGGGGTGACCTCTTCACGCAGGGGACGCGCTCTGCGTCCCTGACAAGCAGTTCGTAGCCAGATGCCTGTGGAGCCCTGGCTGGCCCAGGTGGGGTGAGATGTGTGGTGAGAGATGGGGACCCAGAGGTGACTCCCTGCACCTTGGGGCAGACACCTGGGCAGGCTGAGCAGCCTGGGCCCCTCCTGCCTCTGCCTCTCTCTGACCCTCACCGTCTGGTCCCTGTTCATGAAGGGAGGTACAGGATCCACCCAGCACCGAATGTCAGCCCACCAGCAGGTCCAGGCACCTCGACTGGGGGAGTTGGGGGCCGGTGGTGTCTCATTTGTCCCAGTGGATTTCACTGTAGAGAAGTGACTGATGACACAGAGAGGTCAGTACCATTGAGAGAAGATTTTATTACTCACGGTTCCCAAGAAAGGGGGTGTTCCATGTCACTTAGAGCCACGCGGGGAAGCACCGGGTGTGGTCGGGGCAGGAAGGGGTTGGGGCGGCATCTAGGCCAGAGCCTTCCTGGCATTTCCATGGGAAGTGCAAGGCAGGGCAGGATAAAAGCAGAGCCTTGGCTGGTCTAAATCATCCCGGCAGCCTTCAGGGCCCGGGGCTGTCCAGGTTGCCCTGAGTGGATTTAGGGGAGGGGGCTTATAGTTTGGGGTATCAGCTAGATGAGGGGTTCAGGGTGTGGGCTCTGGATAGCAGGGGAGATGCAAACAGTGCCAGCAGTCAGTGGCTCTATAATGAATGTAAGTGGAATAGACAAACACAGAATCTAAGAAAACAGAGCGGGGCGTCGGGGGGAGGATCTAGTCATTTCAGCATCGCTTCTGTCTCCGCCTGTAAATGTCACAGAGACAGAAGATCTTTCTTCCTTGTGTGAGCACCTTAATCACGATTGCACAATGTTCTTTTGGTCAAGATTTTAGCAAATTAGAGGTCCATTCCCCCCCCCCCCCCCCCTGCCCCCGGCACAGCACAGGGAGCTCTCAGGGACCAGTTCTGTGTGTCTTGGTCCAGATGGTTCTGTTCCCAAAGGGTTCTGGTTAGCAGAGTGACAATGGGGCATTTGCAAAGAGACCCTCAATGCGTAGTTGATTGAAAAGAAATCCCACAACAGCACCTCTGTGCGGAATGCCCTGGATGCGGGGGCGCCCCAGGGCTTCCTTAGAAAGCTCTGTGCTCATTGCACGGTGGAATGTGGGTGCAGGGGCCTCAGGCTGCCCGCATCTGTGTGCTGCCGTGTGACCTCACCGTCGTTACTCCATTAACGATTGGCGCTCCCTTTGTTAATAAGTCAGGAAAGTTAAACCAAATGATCTTGCAAGTTGCCTCCAGTTCCAAACTTCATGACTCTGGGAATCTAGTTGTAATAATAGTAATAATAATAATAATAATAATAATTAATAATAATAATACCAACCCTCTTCACTATCCCCTTGACCCATCATTTCTTTTCCTTACAAAAGTAGGGAAAGTTCTGGGTCTCCAGGCTGCTGGCGCTGGCTGTGGGCACGGGAGGTTTCGCTGTGTTTGGAGGTGGTGAAGGGACCCTCGGGCCTCAGACGCCCACTAACCCTCTTGCTCCCTTAAAGGGTCCATCTGCTTTGCAAACATGGCCATCGCCATGCTGGAGCCGGCCCTGCCCATCTGGATGATGGAGACCATGTGTTCCCCCAAGTGGCAGCTGGGTAAGGCCTGGGACGGGCTCCTCTGAGTCTAGGACTTCGTCCCCAGGGCGGGTCCATCACGTCCCCCTGCCGAGCAGCGGGGTTCCGGGGTGACCGAGTGGCTCTCTGTGTGGCGCTTCATGGGGTCAGTGCTCAGGGGAGTGGCTTTGCCAAAGATGAGGAGCCGCTCCTCATGCCTCATTGCCAGCCCCGCTGTGTTCCAAGATTTCCTTCCTCTCTGGTCCCCGTGGTAGTTGGGGCCCCAGGTGTTTCTGGAAGGTGGCCGTGGCTGGGAGTGTCCTGCACGGGCTTGGCAGCCGCTTGGGCTGAGAGGCTGTGCTGACGTTTTGACATCTTCCCTTAATTGACTCAGGACCCTAATTGAGTGCGGCAGGCCCTGTACAGGGCACTTAAGCTGCTCTGTCCTCTCCCTCCAGACACAGCCTGGGGCTGGCTTTATAGTCTTTACAGTCAGGCAGGGGCCCCGGGCCATCGGGCTAGATCGCAGGCCTCCTCGGTTCCTCAGGAGACCTGGTGGGGCGCAGCACCAAGCCAGACGGTCCCCTCCCCACTGGTGAGGTCACCCCTTCCTCGCTCAGAGAGAGACTTGGCTGTTGAAGAGAATCACTTGGCTACACCTGCTCTGCGCCATCTGCAGTGTGCTCTCCGCAGCGTGGGGCCCGCGTCTGCCGGAGCCTCGCAGGCCCCTCTGCGCCTTGGCGGGCGGGGCAGCCTGGGTGACAAGAGCGAGGACCCAGTGCCCAGCCCTTCCCCGAGCCCCGGTCACTCAGCCCGCCCTGCTTAGGGTCCTGAGGGGGCTCACAGGAAGCCAGTCTGCCCTGAGGCCTCCCCGATCATTTCTGGAGAAAGATTGGAGATTTGAAACCAAAGCAACTTTCACTAGGTGTGCGCAAGGCTCAGAGTCAAAGCTGGTAGCCCCGATTTCAAGAAGAAACACTGGCGTTGTGAACTCTAAGCGTTGGAAAAGCCATCTTTCCGAAAGAGACTTTCCTGTTGTCTTAATAGTGAAGAGGGACGAGAGAGAGCCGACGGGGACAGATCCCCCGCAGCCGAGCCTGGGCCGCCTTGGGCCAGCCTCCTGTTCACTGCCGAGGGCACGGGCCAGGCCACCACTGCCGCCAGCAGCTGGACATCAGCCTGGGTGTGCCCCGAGGTCACGAGGTCCCTCTCCTGGGAGAGCACTCAGCCTTGGACATGACAATTTCGGTCACCTATGACTTGGCCCCCAAATCGACCACATAGACATTTATCTTTTTGGCGTGGAAAGAAGTTCATAAAGCTAAGTGAAAAAAAGGGCATAGGACAGTAGTTACAGTCCCATTTTGGGGAGAAAAAACAAACAAAATCCCGTGTGCACACATTTATGATGAACAGGTAAACTTAGCATGTTTATGGTTCAAGGGCCCTGACCAGGGATCGAACCCGCTGCCTTGGCATATCGGGATGATGCTCTAACCAGCTGAGCTACCCAGCCAGGGCGAGTACACATAAACTTACAAGGGAAAATAACGGGGGTGGGGGGGGGGAGTTATCCCAGGGATGGGTTTTGGGGTGATTTTAACCTTTTCGGGGTCCTTACCCTAATGTTCCCTAATTGCCTCCATGCCTATTGTCTGTCTTCTGTCCTGTAAAACGGGGAAGGGGGTATGGGTGGCAGGTGCCCTGGCCTGACATTCCGGCGCCGCGGGTGTTGGTCCACGTGCAGAGCTCCCCGCCAGGCCGAGATGGAGGCGCCGATAGAGAAATGAATTTCGTGCCTGCAGTGTCTCCGCAGCTTTGTGGACGGACGAGCCGCGTGGGGTCCGGGCTGGCCCTGCAGCCGCCGGATATTAGCTGCCCCGGTGCCGGCCGCAGGGCTGCGTTTCACCGGCTCTCATCGCCCCCGCGGCGGCGGCGATGATTAGTTTTCCTAACATTCGGCCGCTATCAGTGCTGATAAGGTGTCCTTTTCATAATTTACAGGCGTTGCTTTCTTGCCGGCTAGTATCTCTTATCTCATTGGAACCAATATTTTTGGGATACTCGCGCACAAGATAGGGAGGTAAGCTGAAATGAAAACAACACTCCCTGTCTTCTAATAACGCTGTTCTTTAAAAAAAAAACTCTGTTTCTGTCTTGGCAGTGACAAGCAATTGTTGTGATTTCCATTGAAAATTTGGACTGGGGGACAAAAAGGAACAGCTACTGATGGTGGGTCGTTGTTGTTTTCCATAGGTGGCTTTGCGCCCTGCTGGGAATGGTAATTGTGGGGATCAGCGTTTTATGGGTGAGTAAAAGACAGCATCGAAAAAGTGGAGATGGTCAGTAAATAGGACTTTTGCTTTGGGCAAGAATCACCAAGAAATATTGTTTAGCAGTTTGAAGCTTGTTGATAAATGCGTTTTCTTACATCTTTCATTTTCTTCTAATTTTTTATTATCATCTTAGAAATTTTGGACAAGACTCTCCAAGGGATATATTTTCACTTAATGTCAGTTGGAAGTTATTATATCGATATATGTCACCCACCCCCACCCCCATCACCTTAAACATTACAATGTCTTCAGCACTTTGGGGTGACTACCCTGGAACACCAGCAAGATGCTTTTTTTCTAGAATAAAACATCATCTTCCTGTGGCCAGTATCCTACCCCAAATGGGTTTTTGGGTCCGTGTCAGAAAGGGAGTGTGGACCAGGCCGATCGTTCGCATTGGGAGCTGACTAGTGTTCATGGTGCTCGCAGAACCCGTTTCAGCTCCAGCTGGGAAGATTGGAGGGTCTGGTTCTGCCCAACACCCCCACCTCCCCCCGCCCCCCGTTTCCTTCGAAGGGAACACACATACCCGGCTGGAGACAACATATTTTGAAGACTTTCCAAGATGACTTCGAGTTGCATGTCACGTGATTTCAGTGTAACATTTACTTCCTCTTACAGATCCCTTTTGCAAAAAACATTTATGGACTCATAGCTCCCAACTTCGGAGTTGGTTTCGCAATTGGTAAGTCACACGAGCCTGGTGCCTCGACTTACAACGGTTGTTTTTCCTCATTGCTGAGAAAGGTTTCCTCTCATTTGGGCTGCCCCTAAACTTCCTAGAAGCTGGAGATGAGGCTGCGGGCAGCCAAGCCCCAGTGCAGCCTGTAGGTCGCCCACAGAAAAACGCCTGCTTCCCCCCACGCCCTAGTCCTTTGTTTCCTGAAAGCCAGTATTTTTAAGAAGCCTGGTGTTTGCAGAAGCCGACACGCCACTGGCGCACCTGGGCAAACCAGAGCGTCCCCCACGCAGGGCCCAGATCTGAGAACAGACCTTCTCAGGTGAGGCTGGGGGACCAGGCTTCACAGGTATTTTTTGCGGTTTGGTACAGAAAAGGTGGACAGGTGTGGTGGTGACCACCTGTGCCACAGGAATTTTCACGGGCAAACGAGACGAGTCTTTCTAACATGAACAATAAATTATACCTTAGGAAAATCCTGTTAATATTTTGGGTAAATAGTGCACATTTGTTTCTCCTTTAGAACCTGTAGCTCCCTCATGATGCAAGTAAATGCTGAGTCGGTCGCAGGGAAAGGCAGGCATTCATTCTTTGGTAGAAAGAGAGCGGAGCCTTGGCCGACCCCTCGGACCAGGCTAGGTCCCCTGAGCATATAGGTGTCCTCTCACGCGCCTTCGTAGCATCGGTCCCCATTGGAATTCATTTTCACCTCTTCGTTTAACATCCAACTCTTTTGTTCTCCCCTGCGCCCCCACCCTTTGCACATACTCGGTGATCCAGCAAGTACCATTGAATGAAGGAAATTTCCCTCATCTTCCTGCCCCTGGTCCTTGGGGAGGTGAGGGAATGAGTGGTCTGCTGGGGGAATTCACAGATGCTGTCTCCCTAGCCCAGTGATGGCAAACCTCTGACACGTGTATCAGAGTTAACACGCGAACTCATTTTTTGGGTTGATTTTTCTTTGTTAAATGGCACTTACGTATATAAAATAAATATCAAAAATATAAATCTTTGCCGAGACCGGTTTGGCTCAGTGGATAGAGCGTCAGCCTGTGGACTGGGAGGTCCCAGGTTCGATTCCGGTCAGGGGCATGTGCCTGGGTTGCGGGCACATCCCCAGTGGGGGATGTGCAGGAGGCAGCTGATCGATGTTTCTAGCTCTCTAGCTCTCTATCTCTCTCCCTTCCTCTCTGTAAAAAATCAATAAAATATATTTAAAAAAATAAATAAATCTTTGTTTTACTATGGTTGGAAAGATCAAAAAATTTCTATATGTGACACGGCACCAGCGTTAAGTTAGGGTTTTTCAAAATGCTGGCACGCCGAGCTCAAAAGGTTCGCCATCACTGCCCTAGTCAGTCATTGCCATCCCCACGGGAGCGGTGGGCAACCGATGTTCAGAGAGAGAAGGCATGATCTCACTCTCCCAGCCAGGGATTTGAACCCAGAACACGTGCTCTTTTTTCTTTTTAATATATTTTCATTTATTTCAGAGAGGAAGGGAGAGGGAGAGAGAGAAACATCAACGATGAGAGAACCATTGATCGGCTGCCTCCTGCACGCCCCCCACTGGGGATCAAGCCTGCAACCCGGGCGTGTGTCCAGACTGGGAATGGAACCGCGCCTCCTGGTTCATAGACTGAAGATCTACCCCTGGGGCACACCGGCTGGGCTGTACTCTTTCTTTATGCTTCCTGTCCCCGACTACGCAGGAGACCAGAAACTATGCTACTGGTCTTGGTGGTGGCAGTGTGTTTTTTGTTGTCCCCGCACCCCCACACCCCAGGAATGAGCAAACTTCTTTTGATTTTAGTTCCGTGAGTAGGGCCAGATGACCGCTCAGACTCCTTGCTCTGATTCCTTCTGACCCCCCTCACTGTGTGGGGCCAACGTGTGCACGGAGAGGAGCCTGGGGGAGGCATGTAGGCGTGTCTCCTCGTTGAGGGCAAGGGACGAGTGGACCAGAAACTAATGAACCAGGGAAACAGCAACAGGAAGCAGGCGGGGGTCCCCAGGGCCAGTGACCAGCAGCCCGGAATGCGGGAGAGTCACCAGAGGACTGAGTGCCCTCTGTCGGAGGACAGGCCGTCTGGACAGTGAGGACGAGGTGAGGCAAGGCAGGGGACAGGCACCTGGTGGCCTGGTCCCGGCCCCTGTCTCAGCTGCCTGCCATCGGTCTTCAGCCGATGTGTTGTCGGGAGTCTGTCTCAACACGTGCAGGCGGAGAAGCCAGAAGGGGAGGAGGCAGCAGAGATGTGAGGTTAGGACCGTCCTGACATCCGTCCCATCTTCAGTGTACAACCATTTTCTATAGACTGTGCTCCCTGGCCCCACAGGCATGGTGGACTCATCGATGATGCCCATCATGGGCTACCTGGTGGACCTGCGGCACGTGTCCGTCTACGGGAGTGTGTACGCCATCGCAGACGTGGCCTTCTGTATGGGATACGCATTAGGTAAGGTGTGGGCTGACACGACCACCTTTTATCTCGGCACGACAGCGCGCCTGCTGAGAACCACCTAAACCTTCGCGTCTTTCCGTGGGCACGGTGCCTGTGAGAGCTTTATCTAATTCTCTGTTTCCCGAAGGTCCTTCCGCTGGCGGGGCTATCGCGAAGGCAATTGGATTTCCGTGGCTCATGAGAATTATTGGAATAATTAATATTCTTTTTGCTCCTCTCTGCTTTTTTCTTCGAAGCCCACCTGCCAAGGAAGAAAAAATGGTGAGAAAATTTTAGGATGCGTTGAAGTGTTTCTTGATCATTGTAGCACGGTCTTTTGGATAGCGTTTCTTTTTCCTTTGGAGACGTTAGGTTTTATTTTTAATTTTTTAGTATACTTTTTATTGTTGATAGTGTTATAGATGTTTTTCATTTTCTTCCCCTTTACCCCCCTCCTCCCAGCCCCTGTCCTCCCCCCCCCCCCCCCCCGGTCTTCACCACCCTATTGCCCGAGTCAGTGGGCTATGCCTATAAGTATATAAGTTCTTTGATTTTTCTCTTGTTCCCCCATCTGCACATTGAGGTATGTTTCTTAATTCTAAAGTATGTTCCTGCTCCTTTTGGGGAGAACTCTCCAAACATACATGGTAAGAGTTCCTTTTTAGGTGATACCACATCGGACAAGCTACTTCTGTTACTATATCAAGCATTATGTTTATACATTTGTAGAGTAAAATTATTTTTGTCCGTAGATTAGCAGTCGGTAAGCTCTTTTGTCAATGAAATAAAAACATGGGATAATTCTCTGTTGCTTGAACATCTTGAAAATGTGGACATCAGCCCGGGCACGCCCTGCACTTACTCCTAAGATCAGCCGTTTCTGGGGCTGTTTTGCCTTTCTCCCAGCCCTTGCAGCTTTCAGCAATAGTGACTTGGTCCTCCCTGCCTAAGATTCCGGAGGTGGTTCTCATGTAGGTAACAGGCCCTTAGGGAAAAATATTGTATATGCACCGTTGGGCACACAAAAAACCTTGAAATTCATAATTTCATAACCAGAATCATGGCCATAGGCAAGAGAGAATATCAAGTGTTCCTCTTCTGCATATGTCCAGACCTCTCAATTCTAAGTGTGAATTTTGAAATGCATCAGCCATTTAAACCTTTCTGGTAAGCATCCACAGCTGGAGGTGGTGGGTGTTGCTGCTTTGTGAAACATCTCATGGTGATGGGTACCCCTCCAGCTAAAAGCAGAGGGCCTTAGGTTAGGGATGAATGGGAGAAAGCAGGCAGGGGAGGTGGCATTTGCGGTTCGTGAATGGATGCGCGGTTCGCTTGCGATGTTCTGCTGGGAGTGCAGCCCGAGTTCTTCCTGACGGTTGAGCTGAAATGGATGTGGATGCTTTGGCTCTTCATGAACTGCCCTTTGAAGATTTCCCCCAAACAGCGGATTTAAAGGCAGACGCAGACCCTGAAGTTAGGTGCCATGCAGCCTGTATTAGCTTGGGGCGTTTTTTGTTTTTTGTTTTTTTGCATTTATCAATCTGTTCAATATATTTGAAAACTATATCCAGCACTATTCCCTTTATTATGTAGACTTTAACTTGGTCATTTAAAAAATATTTTTGTTGACTTCAGAGAGGAAGGGAGAGGAAGAGAGAGATAGGAACATCAATGATAAGAGAGAATCATTGATCGGCTGCCTCTTGCATGCCCCGCACTGGAGATGGAGCCCACAACCGACTGTGACCTCCTGGTTCATCGGTCGGTGCCCATCCGCGGAGCCACACTGGCCTGGCTCACCCCATCACTTTGAATTACTCGTGACCCATTTGGCTCACAGAGGCATGGACGGTGCTGTGGAAATACGCTGACGGAGGCCCCCCTCTCTCCCTGCCTCTCCACAGCCCTTTACTGTGGGTCTCTCTGGGACTCCCCTGTTTTCCGGCCTGGTTGTGTAGATTCCCTTTCCATCTTTGTTTGACGGGCCCCAGCACAGTACCTTGCCCAAATCAGGCTCAGGAAATTCTCAGTGCAGCAAGAATTTGATTAAGGCTAATCACCGACAAATGCCTCTGTCGCCCCACAGACTTGGGAGAGAGATAAGGGCTGGCACGGGGCCCTGGAGCAGGACTGTCACCTCGTAGGGTTGTTGGGGGGGAAAGAATCTCAACAGGGCTCAGCCCATGTCTGGCACCCAGGAAGTGCTCAGTCATTCTCGCTCTTACCCAGACCTCTGACTTCGGCCCCTGTCCCATCCTCCCCCTCTTCCCTCTGTGAGAAGAGCTTCCTTTTGCTGTTCAGACCCCAGAACGCAGAAGGGGTTATCGTTCGTTGACAGCCTGATGGCTTATCTGGGGGCGGGAGGAAATGGTGAGGTCGGAGGACCAGCGGGGGTGCGGTGGGGGTGCTTGCCCAGCCAGCTGCTGCTCTGAGAGCCGCTGAATGAAGGCTGCCCCGAGGGCTGCTCCTCCTTCCACATTTCAGCCAAGGCTTTAGTTCATTGAAAAAGAAAAATGCTGCAGGAAATGGAAGAGACAGTCCTGAAAGGCAAAGCAACAAGAATTACAGGCTCCCAGAAGCCACTTTCGCTGTGAAATGTCAGAATCCTTCATCAGTGCCTTAGCAGGATGAACCGTTAAAAACAGGAGAAAAAGTGCATCTCGCTGCCCATCATCGATGCCAACATAAAAGGCATTGCATTGGATGCCACTTGACTGGCTGGCATGCTGGCAGCAGTGAGAGGCAGCCAGCAGTGCTGCCTGCTCACTGTGGAGACCCATATAGCTCCTAGGACCAGGGGGACCGAGGCAGGTCAGGTGGGCCGTGGCCGAGAAGGGATTGATGACCGCCCCTTTGAGTGTCAGCAGTCAGGACCCACAGTTACCAAATGCTGGGGGACGTGAGAGCGGGAATAAGAAATACAAACCGTAGCAAATAATTCGTTCATCAGGCCGCATTCTGCTGGCGTGCTTGGACTTCGGCTATTCTGCAGCGAACGGTCTCGTGCTGTCCGCACGGGTCCCACGTCGTGCAGCTCTGAGCCGGTTTGTGAGCACTTGAGTTTCTCTTCCATTTGGTTTACTGGATTTCCGTGGCGTTTGTTGTTGCTGCTGTGTGTTTGTTTTTAATGATCAGTGTTGAGTTGGCAATGCCGGTGAAGAGGAAAAAACTGTTAACTCAGTGCCGCAGCAAGATTAAGCAATAGCACACGATCCTTTGAAGAAGACTGGATTCCAGTTGTAAGACAATCAGCATGCAGCCCGTAGCTCTCAGAACACCCAATCGGGAACAGCCGCGTTCTGTGTGGATTTTTCTTTCCGGTTGAAGAATTAGCTTCAAAGACGGGGCATGTTTCTTGCATCCCATGGTTGCCCTGACAGGAAAGCAGGCGGTGTGAGGATTGGAGCTCTCTTTCCCCGAGTGGCTCTGGGTTCTCTGCACATCCACTCACCAAGTCCTTCCTGCTGTCTCCTCGATGCCGCGGGGTGGGCAAGGATGGGGCCACCAGAAGCTAAAAAGGCCGGGTATGTTCTGTGTTATACTCTACTTAAAGACGTGTCCCTGCCCGGCTGGGGTGGCTCCGTGGTTGAGCATCGTCCCATGTACCAAGAGGTCGCTGGCTCCATTCCAGGCCAGGGCTCATGCCCAGGTTGCAGGCTTGATTCTCAGTAGGGGCCATGCAGAAGGCAGATCGATGTTTCCTCCCATCAGTGTTTCTCTCTTACCCTCAAACTTCCTCTTTCGAAAATCAATTTTTAAAAAATTTTAAAAAAAGAGATGGCGCCCTAGCCAGTTTGGCTCAGTGGATGGAGTGTTGGTCTGTGAACCAAAGGGCCCTGGGCTCGATTCCGGTCAAGAGCACGGACCTCGGTTGCAGGCTTCTCCCCAGTCCGGGCCCTGGTCAGGGCTCCTGTGGGAGACAATCAACTGATGTGTTTCTCTCACATCGATGTTTCTCTCTGTCTTCCCTTCTCTTTTCCACTCTCCCTAAAAATAAATGGAAAAATATCCTCAGGTGAGGATTGAAAAAAGAAAAAAGAGGTGGTGGGCTTAAGATTTTGCAGGGGGGGAGGAGGGAGGTTAAGCCTTCTGTGCAACATGGACCATCCACAGGGGAGAATGGTCCTGGTGCACAGTGTCAATTACCTCAATTACTTATTTTTAGAAATTGAGCCCTTTATGAAATACATGATCAATTCACTTGGCAAGAAGCGGAATAAAAAGTGGGGCTAAGTTTGCAGCTGACGGTTGGAGCTGCCAGCCTAACGTAGAGGGCCAAGGAAGTCCTTATCTCAGCAGGTCACACAGGCAGACATTCTAGAATGCTTGGGAGAAAAGAAGTGCGGTAAGCACAGAGCGAAGTCCGAGAAGCTTATCAAACCTGAGGCATGCTAAGAGAGGCTGCAATGTTTTCATCCACATAAATGTGTCCATTGAGATTTTCAAACTGCACCAGAAGGGATTAGGAGACTAGTTCATGTGGAAGAAACCTCCGGAAGACATACCCTGAGGAGAGAATTCCTTTAGTTGACCCCGCGTCCCCTGCTGTCCTCGCACTCCCGATGGATGGCACCGTGGAGCTGCGTGTGAGGCGACTCAGGCTGGAGGCTGTCTGGACCCACATCGGCCCAGTTCCAGCTGTGCATCCCTGTCCGGTTCCTTAGCCTGTGCCACCACGCAGAGCTATCAGCCCACCACACGCGACACTTGTGAAGTTGAGGTATTTCACGGAACATGCTTCGCGAGGTCCTGGGTGATTTACACATCAGCTGTGTGATCAGACCGGGCTTGGTCTGTACATGTTCAGGAGGAATGATGACTCAAGTGCCGGTCAATTGAGGATCAGCGGACCGTTTCTCATGTTCACAAGAGAAATGTGTTTGTAAAAAATTCATACAGTTGAGCAGGAGTTGGGCAGCAGGAACTGGGGAGAGGTGGTCTGAAGTGGCGTTGATGGAAGATAAGGCCATGGGTTGTTTGTGCCTAGGGTGATCTAAGGGGCGGTAGCCATGGTCTTACAACACGGTAAGGGTGATCCGTGAAGACGTGGGAATCGGCACCCGATCCACAGACAGTGGAGACAGTCCAGTCCATCCACGCATGTTTCTAACACGAGAGCTGGCGTCCTCAGGAGAGAGCACGTCCTTACTTAGTGTTGGTGCGCGAAGTCTGCAAACAGGTTGGATTGGGTGACCTCCGGGGCCACCCCTCCCCCAGTTCCAAGATTCTAAGTACAACTCTTCCTAAACCTCACCTGCCTTTCGTCAGAGCTCACAGGTTCCCCCGAATCCACTTCACGGCCCTGCAGGTAGAATGAAAACACTGCAGAGACCCCTTCTGGTATATCCTCTTCCCTGAATGTTCACGAGTGTAGGACTCCAGGCTTTCTGGGCCAGGCAGCTGCAGTTGCACCAAATGACTGTTGAATAGTGGGTGGATCCATCCATCCATCCATCCATCCATCCATTCATCCATTCACACATCCACACACACACACTAGTAAATCTTAGAAACGGTTGGTTAAAACCATTTTATCTTTCTGAACAGGAAGCTAATATATCTGCCCTTTGCTCTCTTTTAGGCTATTCTCATGGATCACAACTACCCTGTTAAAACAAAAATGTACACTCAGAACAATGTCCAGTCGTATCCGCTAGGTGATGAAGAATCTGAAAGTGACTGAGACCCTCAGAAGTCATCAGAGCATTTCGTTGTGTGAAGCAGTATTCCCTGTGCAGTGACTCATTCAGAACCATCTTAGTCATCCCACACGTCCCTGGTGAAACAGTAGAACCAAAGGTTACCCTTTCTTTTCCGTGGGTATGGTCGATTGCCAGCAGCCTTATAAAGAAAAAGCAGCTTTTCTAGGGGTTTGTATAAAGTGTTGAAAACTTTATTTTATGTATTTGATTTTATTAAATATTATACAATATATTTTGACGAAATAGATATAGTGTAAATCTATAAATATTTGAATCCAAATCAGATATAACTTTTTAACTTACATTCACGAACACTTGGGCCAAAAAAAAGCACACCTTATATTTTTTCTGAATATTGGTAATGAGTGTTTAAAACTAAAGTACACATTATCTCCGAGACACTTCCGACAATAAGACACTAGAAGGAAGTCTGAACAATCAAGTAAGACAGCGTATGGTTACGTAGTGACGCCGAGTGTTGAGTTCTCCAGCTTGTAATTATCATCAATATATGTATGAGTTAAAAGCTAGTTATCTCGAACGCAGAGGACAAGAACTTGAGGCAGTTACCGTTTGGATTTATCTGTAAAACTTAGCTGGCACTAGTTATCTATATGTAACCACCTACCCGGAAACAGCTGGTTGTATGTAAATGATATGCTTACATGTCATGTGGTTGGCAGCAAACATTGAAGCCAATGAGGGGAAAAATAGCAAATGTTCTGAAAGCAGAGAAAAGCATCTAAAATGAACAGTTATGAACAACTAGATGCTTCCCTTTAAGATATATGATTATCTTACTGGATGAAGGAACATTGAGGGTAGATTACACAAGTCAAGGTTGTGTAAGCATGGCGAGACTTATCAACATCTAGTTCAAGGTTAGAAAATAAAGGTAAAAGGCTAATAGCTGCTATGACATGAACAAAAAAATCAGACTCTATCATCTTTGACCTGTTTGGAGATTATCCAAGTGTTTAATTTTGAGTTTTAACTTTTCTTTCCTAGACTTCTGAAAGTTGTTCACATCAATGTGAAAAGTTTTAAATGACGATGAGTGCAATTAGGTCTTGAATCATGTTAGGAAACCAGGTAAAAATAGGGTGGTCCGGACACCCCCCATTTCACAGGCAGGGAAAAAACCAAACATCTGAAAATGTCTTTGTATTACTGTGTCATCTAGTGCTGTGTGATGTAGTTTCTCTAAGCATGACATTGTCGTGCCTTCCCAACCTATACTGTGTTAGTGAACACTGTCAGTTTACACCAGGTTTTGTATGATATGACTGCAGTGGTGATCGTGTGGAATGCCTCAGCTACTACTGGTTAATTCTATAGTTCTGTCATTGTAAATGAAAATCACCTATGTCAATGTTTTTGTTAAGTTAGAAATTGTTTAACTTGGAAGAGGAGGAACTAAGGACTTTAAGAGGACTCTTCAACCTTTCAATTCTCTAGGAAAGTTAGCTGATGCTGACTTTCCATTTGCTTTACGAAGCTTTCCTGTGGGCCTCGGCAGGGTCTGCAGCCTGGCTGTCAGGTGCCGTGAATTGGAAGCACATAGCTTCCCACTCACCAATTCGCATGGGGCAGCTGATCGGGTGGCTTCTGGAAGGTGCTCCAGAGGCGCGTGCCCGTGGCTCTGAGGCAGGCCGTTCTCCACTCCCACTGGGGAGAACCTTCCAAAGGAGCGAGCTGCAAATCGGCCCTCTGGCGGGTTCGTGGTTCTCCCAGCCCCAGCACCGTATGTTATTCTACTTTATTTTTGCCTTTAAGATTCGTCTCTTCAAAATGACCGGGAAAGGCATGCCTGCTATTGATCCAGAGGGATGACATAAAAGATACATGGAGTTTTTTAGAACTGTTTTAGGAGCAAAAGATATCAGTTGTATCTAACAGGAAAAATGGGGAATTGTAGGGTCTTTTATGTGACTAATGTTCTGGGGTGAGCCAAGACTGAAAAGAGACTTTAAAAAAAATAATTACGTATGTCAGAACAAAGAACATACAGCCGAGTTTCTTTTTTGAGCAGAGGTGGTTTTATGTGTGTACCTGGCAAACAGATACAAAAACCTTAATGAGGTAGCAATGAATAGTCAATTCTTTCTTTTGACTGCCAAGTGTACCTGCCTAAGCCATGTTTTAGCTAGTTTACTTAATAAATCTTCTGAACACTACTGTGCCTACTTGTATTCCTTTATAAACCAGACATGATCCTTGGAATCAAATACATAAGGTATTGGCGGTTGATATTTAATTAAAAACTGTTCTCTGCTTGCAGGCATCAGGTAACTTCCTCTCCAGGTTAGTGAACCATACATTTTGGCTTTGAAAAGTGTTTTACATTGAAATATGTTAACTAGTCACATGTCAGTGCGGAAACATGCAGCAAGTTATCCTTGCATCTAGAAAGTTGTATTATTTTCCTGATTGCTGTGAACCAATATATTTGGTAAGAATAACTAACCTATGTGGCCGTTTGATACACGGGGCCTGTGGCCCCAAGTCCTGTAAAACTTACGGTGTGCGTGTGTATCTTTTAGGGGCAAGAGTCTAGTTTTAATCAGCTGTTTAGGGGATCCATGGCTTTAAAGGATTGAGGGACCACCCTATTTTTTAAAAGAAAGCTGTTATCTCAATTTAGAAATAAAGACAATACATTTTAAAAGTGATTTTAAATTTATCTACTTTTAGGGAACTTGATTTTATATTATCTTACTATTAATAAAAGCCACGTATTTTCAAATTGTCTGTCAAAAAATTCAGATTTACTTACATTTTGAACCTGACAGTACCCTCAAATATTAAGCTGTTTTCTTTTCTCAAAAGTCACAAGTGGCCACATAGTATTCAACTAGTTCTGATATTGAAGAATGTAGGTCTTGACATTAAGGAATGTAGATATTAATTCTGATTCCAAAACAGCGCTAAAACGTTGCTCAACTTGAGGGTCTAAATGTCTAGCCCAATCATTTAATACCAATGTAAAAAATACACTTTCACTACTCTAATTACTAATAGGGAGCAGAGGCAAATCCATAAGTAAAACCATAGTAAACCCAAAAGGTAATGCTTTTAGGCAGTTTTCAAAATAGCAGTTTTGTTTAGCACAAACGGACTGTTGAGCTTGTTTGTGTGGCCAGATTCTACCAGGCTGTAATTCCAGAGAGAGGCAGCAGTCACCTTTTCAGATGCCATCAAATGAAGATATTCTTTTTCCCGTGGTGGTTTTGCTTTCTTTATTATCTGTTAGCTATTGATCACATAGCATGGCAGCGACATTACATCAGGAACTTAATATAATACAACTGTTTTCATTGAGACCTTATACCTCACTCTCCCCTGGGCAATTTGGGGTGTTCCCGTTGCACGAGTGCAACTGTGATGCCCCTACTGCTCCTCCCACTATATATATATATATATATAATAAAATATTGCACTATGTTAAAGGTATTATTTTACAAATATCATGAGCAGCATTACTGAACTTTCCATAACTGTGGTTCTACAGAGTTAAGTATTTTAAAGCATGAGTAGATTTTTATGAAACCAAAGTTTTGCATTACTTCTACAGCCCTTTGGAATGCACCCATTTCAGCAGCATGCTTGGATGTCACCGAAACTTCTGTGGTACGACCCCTAGGCACCAGCCACTTGCAGACACTCCACCTCCCAGGTTATGGATGGTAAGTTATTTTTCATACATGGAAGTTGGTTATTATATTGGGCAGATTGTTTCAAGCATATGTTACAGATTAACATTTTAGCTTCCAGAGAATTTTGTGTATCAAGACTTCTATAGCAGTGTTCTTTTAAAATGCAAGCATGCTTAAATAAACAAAGCGGGGGGTATACACAGCTATATTTTTGTTATTAACTTGGCCAAGAAAGCATTTTCCCCTAATATTTCACTTAATAGCAGAAATGAGAATTGGCTATTGATTTTTAAAGAAGTAACTTTCCTTCCTTCAGTAATGTTTTTATAGCCCATATGCATCCTACCTGTTATTTGAATGGCTTTTTACCGTGCAGAGCACTTAGTTATGCTATTGTTTCCCTCACAATCCTGTGAGGTAGACTAAATCTAGTTTATTCCTACTTTGGAGCTGGAGAAACTGAGACACAGGGCTCTTTTGTGGCTTGCCGATGGTCATACAGTTCATTCATGGCCAATGGAAGAGCTTGATCTTAAACTCTCATATGGTGTCCTGGACTATAGATGTGGGCCAGAATCCATACTAAAATGCTTTTTTTCTGCCAGCCATACAAGCCATCCCATCTAGTTTTAAATTCATGTCAGTTTTACTACATATCTTCATAGTAGTTACCTACAAAAGGGAAAATTATGCATAGATGTATCTTTTTATAGGCAAATAAAAGGCCAAAACTTTTATGAAATACCAACAGGGGTCCTGCTAACGGTTTCCCTCAGCCATGTTTCCCTCAGATATCCACACGATGGACCAAGTATGAGAGTAGATCCTCCTTTTCAGAGAACTAGTCCCAATTTCTATGTATCTATACTGTCTATTTTTATTTAATTTTCTTTTTTTTTAAATGAAGATAATCTGAATTACAGAAGCATTCAGAATGATCACCATTCCTTTAAGCCTGCAGGATGTCAAAGGAGTAAATCTATTTTGCATGATTCTTCTCCTTCACAACATTGTCCTGCATAAAAAAAAAAAAAGTTTCTAAAAAACAGCCAAACCAGTTATCAACACGGTCATTTTAAGAACAGTCCTCTGAAACTTTAAATATCCTTGCACATGCTTTATTTCCTATGGGAGAACTGGAGATGAAAATTAATCATAAATGATTAGAACTTCCATTTAAAAGGAAAGCAACATTTTGAAAAATTATATTTCAAAAACCTAGTTGCTGTTTTTTAATAATCCTGTTCTCTCTCCACAAAATTCTTTACCAACTGCATTCTATATTTACTCTTTGTTACATTTTGTTTGCAGTGCAAGCTCTTCAAATCAATCACTATATTCTCACTCTACTTCAACTACACAAAAGCTTTAGAAAAAAATTTCACAGAGGCATTGGAAGCAAGCAATATATGTAAAGGGTTTTTTTTTTTTTTTTTTTTTTACTAAATCAGCATAACTGACTAAAGCCATAGTGTCTGCTTTCGTGTTACATTTGGCAAAAACAAAAAGCACCCCCCATGACCCCAAAATAATAAAAATCTCAAGTAGGATGACAAACTTCATAACACAAAGATTCAAAAACTGTTCCCTCAATGATTGCTGCTGTCAATTTGGGCATGCAACAATCTGTTACAACCGTGATAGAAATAAAAACATTACAAGAATCTGGACAGTATCCAATTTAACACTAATTCAAAAAAGAGAAAAATAGCACAATGAGACAACAAACATAAACATGAAAAGTCAGCTTACATAATTCCATAATTAGAAAAAGTTAAAAATAAATTAGTAAAAATAAATTCCAAGTATAAACCCAAAAAGCAGAGCTATAAATGCAATCTGAAACAACCAATTTAGTGAGCTGGTCATGTTTTCGCTGGAACCACCTTTTCATTCTTATTAACACAAGCAAGTAGCTGTGGAGAAGCAGGCCGAAGTGCATTATAAGGGGGTTTAAACATGGTTTTATCTGTGGTACTTTAGATACTTTTCCCCAATTGCTTGAAAGATTAGACGGGTCTGTTACACAGACTCAGATGGGCCGAATAAGTCATCTGAAATGCTGCTGAATGGCTGAGCGTCTATTAGTTGGGTTATTTCATTATCAAAGTCTTCTTCTGGGTCATCTGTGTACTTGCCTATTTTTTTGGGGTGCTGGTCTAAGGTCAGACTTTCTAAAGATTCGATATCTTCAATGCCTGCTCTGTAGTGGATCATAAGAAGTGTCAAAGCTTGTAGTCTTTCACCTGATTTACCTAAAGCAGCAGAAAGAAGAGATTTTTTCCTTGTATCGGTTGTCTCTTTTTCTTCTCTAACAAGGGAATTGTTATGTTCCAGCTCTTGATCAATTTCATTCTGCAGTTTATCCAGCATGAACTCGAGTTTCTGGATCCTCTCCTCTGTCGGCAAGCCCCTGTACAGATCACGGCCAATTTCTTTAACTGCAATGAAGACGCTGTCATCCAGACCACCCTCCTTCCTTACTAACTTTATTCCTGTGCTGTTTCCCCGTTTAGAAGGACTGTTTGGACCACACACCTCTGTGTCGCTGCCTTCGTTGTCTGACGTGTTGGGGGTGTGTTTTGGTGAAGGTTCTACTAGATCAGTTCCTGGTTCAGAGAGGCGAGTTTTAGAGACTTGACGCAGGTTCAACAGACGAGAGCTAGTATTGATGATGTGCCTCGTCAAGCCTGTGGTTCTAGTGACGGACTTGCTAACTTCAGCGTCAGTACGGGCAGACAGGCCCAGGAGGGCCTCCTGTCCTTCCAGCCTGAGGTTTTTCAGGGTCCGGTCTATCCGCCTCTCAGTCGCTCCACAGAGAGGAATCTCGGCGAGACACTTTTCCTGGCATTTCTTATGGCAAACATAAGCACAGATCATACACTGGGAAGCGGCTTTAGTCCAGACTTTTTTCTTGCAGTAATCGCACCACGTTGGGTTCTGGAACTGAGTGTCCTGGAAACTGTGTTTATTTTCTGTTAAGCCCATCTGTCCCACTAAGGGCTCCTCTTTCGGCAGGGCAGAAACCTCTTCGACCAAATGAAATTCTTTTTCTTTCTCCAAGTTAGTAACTAGGTGGTGGTCCACTTCTCCTTCTTTCAAATATTTGAAGTGAATAGTAATGTCACCAAAGCAAAATTTGTCATTGAATCCCTTTTGCATACTCAGATTGCGGAGTGCGGTTCTCGTGACCATGGCCTTGGGTGTTGGGGCTTCCAGTCTGAACTTGGAAAGGTACTCCATGTTTGATGTAGTGAGGCATCCTAAAGCCACCTCTTCAAGTTTCAGGCTCACATGCCCCAAACAGATGAGCCCCCCCAACTTGAAAGGATCCCTGCACCACAGGGCGAGGTTTAAGTACCGGTGGCAGGCTTCTATGTCGAAGAAGCAGGTGGCTCTGGCTCTTGTCCATTTCCCTAGCTTATTACGATAGTGAATTTCTGAAGACTCCCACGTTTGAGGGTCATCCGAACTGTCCTTCGGAGGGCAGGAACTTTCCGAGGGCAAGTCTTTCCCCACTTCCTGCTTCGCTGAAGACTGCTTAGATGCAGCTGCATCTTCCATGTGATCCACATTTTTCGCTTGCTTTTCAGCAGGTTTATCTGCAGGAGGAGGCGGCAGCGCCTTTTCTGGCTTTTCAAGAACATCTGGTTCCGCCTGACCTGGGGCATCTGCAGAAGGCAAAGGAGCTTTCACTTGCGGTCGTGGTGGCACGGGTGGTTTGAGAGTGGATCCCTGGGTGGGTTTTGACACTTGTGCTGGGTCTGTTGTCTCAGAAGGTTTTGGGGCTAAAGGTTTGTTTCCTTCTTTGGATGGGAGTTTGGGTGGTGGTGGGTGACTTCCTGTAGCTAATTTACGATTTAAAACTGGTGATATCGTTCCAAGGGGTCTAACAGAAGGTGTCGTTGGAGTACGTTTGGGACTAAGACTTGCCGACTGTGCCTCATCTTTGAACTCATTTTGTGCTCTGACATCACTTGCCAAGTCTTCAAATTCCAAATCCAGGTCTCTGCTTTCAGTGTCTACTGCCAACCCAGTGTCCTCTTCATAATGTGGTTGGCATGGGCCTGACAGAAAGTTTTCTTCCAATTGACTGAAATGATCCTGCAGCGCTGCACTGTGGTGGCCCTGGCCCACAGGCCTCTCATAGTACACCAGGACGCGGTCGCCGGCCTGCTTGATTAGCTTCAGCACCTGCAGTGTAGATGTGATTTTCACACCTGTTTTAAAATTTTGAAAGGGAAACACAAATTACTGCAATGAGAATTACCTAAATTGCTATATATAATTGCCATTAACTCATGATATTTAACGAAAAAGTAATAGGGAAACCTCCAAAATATATGATTGGCTTTTGGATGCATCTGTGTGCTAATTCTCAAACCCTGGATAGTCTAGAAATGTTTACTTATTCAAACCAAATGATGACACGAAAATCCTTAGAAGGGTGCCAAGCTGCTAACTCCCAATTGCTTCCCATTCCTTCCTACGTTTAAATGACACTATTTCTCAGTTTAAAGTGAGCAGAGTGACACCTAATAAGGATTTTATTAATGGTTAAACCAGACTTAGATGGGAAACTGATTTTATTGCAGGAAATCCCAAAATATACCAGGGATTACAAGCAATTGGGTCAAAGTAAGAGACTGATGTTTGAAATAAACTGCAAAATACTATATTATGAATAATGTACTCTTTTACAGATTCTTTTTAGTAGCTTTACCCATTAAACTAATCCTTTTCAGGACCAGAAAGAATAAGGCAGGCATAAGTTGCTTTACAGTTAAACAAGTTGGTTACTATCTGCACCTACATGGATAATACCTATCTTAAGTGTTCATTTTACTATTTTCTAATAGGTGCTACATTAACATAATTCAAAATTCAAAGGGTACAAAAGGTGTATACTGGAAAAGATCTCCCTTCGACCTCCATCTCCAGCAATACTCTTCCTTCCCCAAGGCAATCAGAGCCAGCAGCTTCTAGTATGTTCTTCCAGCTAGCCATCTTCTAGGTGTATCATTACAGGCTCCATTTGTTTCCTGCCCTTTCACTACCCTCCCCCAAACAGTACTTACCCAAGCTATCCCTTTCTGTGGGACTTAGAGAAAGGTGAGACAGGTCTTTGCTTTCCAAAGGTCTTAGGGCCATCCTAAATAAATCAAAGTAACATCAGCCCCATCTAATAACCTGACTGTAGAGTTCCTCAGCCTATATCCTCTCCTACTTCAGCTGCCCAGGAAGTAAGACCTTGCTTTAGACCTGGTCATCACTGGGAACTTGACCACAGCAAATATCTTTCACTTGGAAATTAATTTCTGGTCACAATCTCTTATTTCCCACCTGTGACAATTCTGTCTGCTCACTGAACTGTTTCAAGGTAATTTCCAGACCTAATCATTCCTCCTTCGCTCTCCTGGCCCAGATGGTTCTCCTGATAGCACTTGCTTTTCTCCTTGACCTCAGTCTCAAGATTTCAGTGATGTTCACATCAAGATTTTCTATTCTCTTGCCCTGGAAATTTCCTCTTCTACATCTACCTGTCTTTCTGATTCCCAGCTCTGTTAGCCCCGCCACCTCCCCTTTCTCCTGAGCTGACTACCTGATCCAGCCCCAAGTTATCGTCTCTGTCTTCAGCATAGTGTTCAGTGCTGCCTTAGCATTCTGTTGAATGGTCTCCAAACAACTGAGTTTCTAAAACACCAGCTTCAAACCTCCCCCAACCCCCTGAAGTCCACCCTTCCTGCTTTTTCTTCTGTGGATGACATCACCTAGTTTACTGAAAAGATCAACAAGAAGTCACCTTTTCTTCCTGCCAATCATTTTTACTATTAAGCTATCTCAGAGGAGGGAGTATTCCTTTCGTTGTACTCTGAATCCCACTCGCCCCCTAACCATCTCCTTCAGCCCTTTGCTCCATTAATTATCCTTGCTCATACTTTTATTCCCTTCCTCCTGCTTTAAAACCATTTTCATGACACTGTACTAACTGGGCTCAGATGATCCCTCCTCTGCTTTTTCTCCACCTAATCTGCCCCCTGTATGCAAACATTCCCATGGTTTTGTCTGTCATTAGTTTTCTCTGTCTTTTTGCTCTCTTCCTGGATTATATCCATTTCAGGAGTTTTAGCTATCGACTTTTCCTTGTTCCCTTTTGTCCTACATTCCCAACTACCTCTGGGTATCACCACCTTGATGTTTCTTTGACACTACAAAGTCAGTGTAGTTAAAAACCCTCTTTGACCTTCTCATGCTCCTGTCCTCACTACTATGTGAGAATCAATGTGCCACCCTCTGTTCACCTGACACAGATCCAGATAGTGGACTCCCTACTCATTTGTCAGTTTTTTTTTAAAATATATTTTATTGATTTTTTACAGAGAGGAAGGGAGAGAGATAGAGAGTTAGAAACATCGATGAGAGAGAAACATCGATCAGCTGCCTCCTGCACATCTCCTACTGGGGATGTGCCCGCAACCCAGGCACACGCCCCCGACCGGAATCGAACCTGGGACCTTTCAGTCCGCAGGCCGACGCTCTATCGACTGAGCCAAACCGGTTCCAGCCATTTGTCAGTTCTGTCAAAGTTCCAGTTCACTTGGTTAATCCTCACCTGAGGATATTTTTTTCCATTGATTTTTAGAGAAAGTGGAGGGGGCGGAAGGGGGGGAGAGAGAGAGAGAGAGAAGAGAGAGAGAAAGAAAGGAACATCCATGTGAGAGACACATTGATCAGTTACCTCCTGCACACGCCCGGACCCAGGCCAGAATGAGGTCTGCAACCCAGGTACATGCCCTTGACCAGGAATCAAACTTGGACCTTTGAGTACGAGGGCCAACACTCTAACTACCAAGCCAAACTGGCCAGGGTGGGATTCCTTTTCTTTTGGAATATTCCTAATATATGCAAATATAGAGGAAATAGTAAAATGAACTCCATTATTGAGTTTCAAATATAGCAACCATTTTGTTAATCTTCTTTCAACTGCCACCAATCCCATTACTAAATACTTAAAAAATTATTATAGAACCACATAAATGAATTATAGCTATAAAAAAATTAATGTATATCACACCTGCCCCTTATCTCAATAAATATATTTTTACAAATGGTAGATATATTTTTCCACTCAGCATACATTTATATTGCTTAGACTTATTTTTGATAATATTTACTACTTGTGTAATTAAAAACAAAAACCTTTCAAAAAAGTACATAAGAAAAAATTAATTTTACACCCTAGCCAGTGTATTCTAATGGTTAGAGCATCAGTCTGCGCACCAAAAGGTTGCAGGTTTGATTCCCAGTCAAGGGCATGTACCTGGGTTGTAGGTTTGATCCCCAGTTCAATTGGGGCATGTGTGGGAGGCAACCAATCTGTGTGTCTCTCTCACATCGATCGGCACCCCCACCCCCCCTTTTCTTTCCTTCTACTCTCTCTAAAAAATCATTGGAAAAAATGTCCTTGGGTGAGAATTTAAAAAAAAATAATAATTTTATCCTGTAGGCAAAATGAAAACGGTGTGTGAATATTAAAAAATGTATACTGAATTGTGGTTTTCAGATGGGAAAGAGTAACTGTTATGTCAAACAAGTAACAGCTGAGGTTTATTTTAGAGCTTTGTATCCTAAGTGTCATATGGCATGTGTGTTTTAAATTAAATTTTAAGGCTTTTTTCAGATTTTTATAATAAAGTTACTACTTTCTATGATAAAAGTAACGTGCTTATGAAAATAAAGGAGAGAGGAGAACTCCCATATCTACTCTCTGCTTTCTCTGTAAATGTAAACTATACTGCATATTAGCATAATTACCTCCAATAGCAATCAGTCGATCTCCTCGCTGAAGATCAGCAAGTGCAGCAGGTGAGTTTGGGGCCACAGTCTCAATGATGACGTGCCCGGCATACCCGTCAGTTGACTGGACAAGACGAAGAGTAAGTCCAACACTTTGTAAATTCCCCTTAATTAATTCAACCTTTGATAAAGAGAAAAAAATGAAGATATTTAATGGATTCATAGTAGAGAGTGAGAAAACATGAACACACTGAGAGCACTACGGCTGATGCTGACTTTTGTACCACAATGACTATTATAGACAAATAGAGGAGGAGGAAAATCTTTATTGTGACAGTACACACAACACAGATACATCTCAGAGGTGTACTGAATGAAATGAGTCAAACATAAAAGACGCTATACTCTAGGATTCAATTTGTAGTAAATTCTAGAAAAGCAAAATTAAAGTGACAGAAAGTAGATGAATACTTACCAAGGACAAGAGGTTGGGGGGCTGAATATTGAAGGCAAGTAGCACAAAGTTTTCAAGATGAAAGAAATACTCTATACCTTGATTGGGGTGAAGGTTATGTAACTGTATACAATTACCAAAATTCACCAATTGCACAGTTAGTGAACTTACTGTATTTAAATTATATCTTATTAAAGCTATTAAAAATAAAGCAACAAAACCTTGAATATGCCATTTTTTTGTCTTAAGATACATAAATATACAGGTCACTGTTAAGTCATTCAGATAGCCCTTAGTTTTCCAATATACTTAAACCCTCTACTCCAATGCCAGAGCAACCACCTTTAAACTTCGTTTGTTTTTAATTGTTGCAGGGATTAACTTTTTCCCTCTGGATAACGCATCAGTTCTGAATATATAAAATTTCAGAGTGTTTGTTGACTTCTTACCATAACAGATCAGGATGTCAGCCCATTCTCCTTCCCCCAATTATAGTAGAGTTACATCGCTGTTTTTAGTTGCTCAGTGTCTCTATAACTTTAATACCTATACATTCCTGTGTCTTATTTCATCAACTATAGACAATATCCCTCTTGATATTAGGACTTCTATCCTTCCCTTGTTACATCTTCTCTTTGTACACTTCTACCTTCTAAACTCTACCATCAAAGTTGATGGCTATTTTACTTATGTTCTAATTCTAATAAAGCCATCAAGGTAGGTGATTCTAAAGGCTAAAAATGACTAAATATTATTTATAGCTCATTTTCTGTCTTACATAGCCTTTTGTTTTTCTTGGAGATTTTGTTTTCTTTCAACAATATAGCTTTCACTTTAAATGCAAAATTTACATAAGTACTGCTTCTGCAGTTAGCTCTCAAATTCATCCATCCATTTGTTTGCATATTAAGCACCCAGTTGAAGGGAAGTTTTCCCCAACCCCACTCTACCAAAAAGAAGCCAGTTAATAAATGTACAAGGATCAGATTAGAGAAACTGCCCCGCCCCCAAAGTTAGAGGGACTGGTTTAGATTTTTTTAAAAAGGCAAAAAATCCAATGTAGTGTTTACATTTTGATGAGATCCTAGTTTAGGGGAAAAGCTACAAAAAACATTTGTGGGACATTGGGGGTGTTTTAATAGAAACTGAAAATTAGTGAAATTAGGGAAATTTTAATTTTGTTATGTGTGGTAACGATTATGTAAAAGTCCTATATTTAGAAGGTTCATACTGAAATATTTAGGGGTGACACGTAATTTCTACAATAATCCTTGCCTATGATTTTAGGCAAATGTTAACTTCTCTAAATGTGACTGGTAAAATGAGATACCCATATTAAATGTGGAGCTATGAAAAGGTTCAGTGTTTATTACTATTTAGTAAGACTAAGCACTAGTCAAAAATGGGGATGCAAAAGGAAATTTAAAAAGCAATGAATGAAAATATACAGCTAAAGAAATGAGGCAAACATGAAATAAACAAATTAAGGACATTAGAATACTTAAACTATCTTATGTCATTCAAGTATTAATTTACTTTATAGGATCAAGATTGGAGAGAAGCTAAAATAATTTTATGATTAAAAAACTATCTTATTAGAAAAGACAAAGATGGTGACTCATGTCAACATTTAGTTCAAACACACTAGAACAGCTGTGGGCAAACTACGGCCCGCGGGCCGGATCCGGCCAGTTTGAAATGAATAAAACTAAAAAAAAAAAAAAAAAAAAGACCGTACCCTTTTATGTAATGATGTTTACTTTGAATTTATATTAGTTCACACAAACACTCCATCCATGCTTTTGTTCCGGCCCTCCGGTCCAGTTTAAGAACCCATTGTGGCCCTCGAGTTAAAAAGTTTGCCCACCCCTGCACTAGAAGGATAATGAACTCAAACATGGTATTTACGTCCAAATAGTAGAGATGATACTGATATTGTTAAATATCTACTTTTTTCACAAAATTGTAAGTTTTCATCCCTTTAGAAAGTTTCTCCTGTGCAGTAGACTAAAGACATATCAAATGAAAGGAAAAAGAAGGGGCCATAAAAGGAGAAAAAACATTTTTTATGGACAAATAAAAGCATAGTAAAGAAAAGATGAACATGAAACAATACTGTCCTTTGGATTGCTGATCATGAAATCTTTAATAAAAGAGAGAGGAGGTGGGGGAGGGGAATGAAAGTGAAAACAAAATGTGGTAACAAATAGTGGTTATAGAGTATGGATGGGAGGCTTTCAGTTAATCCCAACAATCATCATGCAATAGCTTCCTTTTTCATAAGTCGATTGGATGTTTTTAGGTTCTACAGAAATCTGGGGGCTCCCCTGTTCCAAAAGATAAACAAGGATTAAGGAAAAGTTAACGTCTATAGAACTTTTCACTCCAAATCTTTTTGTTTCTGTTAGAGAATGAAGAAAACCTGGTTCCTCTGCGTCCCAAGGAAGGATAGAGATTTCTGCCGCAGAGGAGGTAATAAATGGGGTCACAACATCCCTCCCCTTTGAAACAACTATTGGGCGGCTATGTCCATGGAATTTGCCTGGAAGTTTTAGGCCAAGTCCTTCAAGTCCAGATCTATGGCTATTTAAGTTATATAAACTCCAGGGTCCTGAGGCTTCCCAGAGCACAAGGACCCTACTTTTGTCAAAGGGTTGGAAGCATCATGGCCTGTATCTAAATATTAGTTAGAATTGTTTCAAAGAATAAACTATATTCTAAGACTGAAGCACAATGTACCACAGGCATGTATGGATAACGAACGATGTAATGGGAATTCGGGGGAGTGAAGACTGCCTCTGGGTGAGTGGTCTGGAAAGGCTTCATCTAAAGGAGACACATATAGGTTATATCTTAAAGCATGAGAAGAATTTGAACAGATAATCTTGGAGTTGGGCAAAGTGTGGGATGGGTTAGGAGCAGCTGTCATTTGTAGGCCATGGTAACACTGTTAGAGCAAAGAGATGGAGACAAGAGTTCAGGGCACATTTGAAAGATAAAACCATCATGATGATACCAGTTGAAAGTTAATGGGGGAGAAAATTCCTATCAAGATTATGAGAGAACAGCACTTTCACCGAACATATCAGAATCATACATACTGATTAGCTAATAGATAAAAGTTCCCACAATGTTTTCTTGCAATAAATGTATAGAGTTTACAAACATCTATTAATATCTATTTGCAATAAACATGTTCCTTAAATTTGTATTTTGTGACATGACTGATATTTTATAAAAGACACTAGTGGCCCGCTGCATGGATTCATGCACATTGAAAGGAAATTAATTAGAAGAAATATTTTAATATTGCTATTCGCCCTTTCTCTATAATAGAAGTGTCAGAGATGAAAGAAAATTAGTAAAATGTATATGAAAATAATATATATTGATTAATAAACTATAACAAAGACATGATATAACAATAAAGACCTGATATAAAAACAACATTGATAAAAACAATGACTGATAAATTGATTAAACTTACTTTAATATCTCCCTGTATACCACATTAAGAGTAAAAACACTTTCAGAGCACTTGACCAATTTCCCTTGCAACAAAGTATTTACAACTTTAACGTCACACACTGTTCGAACTCGAGAGAGAAAGCAACATATAACTGACCATGTCCGAAAACGGGTTCAGGTAGGAATATTCCTACTCTGTGTAAAGTTTGTCCTTGTGATTTATTAATAGTCATCACAAATGCTGGCATCATGGGAAACTGTCTTCGAATTAATTTAAGTGGGAGGCTAGTGTCAGACAGGGACAAATACTGCGCATGTGCGAGTCAATGTTTATTTTTAAATTGTCAGTGCGCATCATATGTACTGGTTGGCCGGTTGGTCAGTCGGACATATGTCCAGTCGGTCACTTAGCCTTTTATATATATAGATGAAATTGATAATACTTATTTAACACTTACTATAAGCTTACTAAACCAGGCACTAATGTTTGCTAAGCTCTCCCCCTTTAATCTTCAGTAGGTTATAGTGGGAACAGCCTTGCTTATATAACACTAGAGGCCCAGTACACAACATTTGTGCACCTGGTGGGGGGGGCCCCCCTCAGTACTGCCTATGCCCTTTTGCAGTCTGGGAGCCCTCAGGGAATGTCTGACTGACAGCTTAGGCCCACTCCCCATCAGTTGGACATCCTTACCGCTGCTGCAGAGGTGGGCTGCTGTGCTCACCAGCCATCAGCCTGGCTTGTGGCTGAGCAGCACTCCCCCTGTGGGGGCACACTGACCATCAGGAGGCAGCTTCTGCATTGAGTGCCTGCCCCCTGGTGGTCAGTGCGTGTCATAGCGACTGGACATTCGCTGTTTGGTCAATTTGCTTATTACCCTTTTATTATATAGGACTAGAGGCCCAGTGCACAAAATTTGTGCACAGGTAGGGTGATCAAGGGGCCCTCACTGGCACCCACCTTGGCCAGCCTGGTGCTATCTGCTCGCTGCCCCCGTCCCTCATTGCTGCCGCCAGTCGCCTCCTTCTGCAGGGCAACCTGCAGGGCAATGGGGGGCCCCCCACTGGCACCTGCCTTGGCTGACCTGGGGCCTGTTCCTGAGTTGAGTGTCTGCCCCTGGTGGTCAGTGCACATCATAGCGACTGGTTCCACCAGTCATTCCGCAGTTCGATTTGCATATTAGGCTTTTATTATGTAAGATGGTTCTGCTCTGCCTCATGAGACGGTCCAGGGGCATACACCTGAGCCAAGCTGGTTA